TGCTGCCCCCTACCTGTGTTTTCTTTTTAATCATCTTTTTTTAAAGTTGTTTGAATCTGTCCTCATGGAAGTTGAACTGAAAATGTGTCAGTAAAAAGACCGGAGGAAATGTACAGTGTCCGCATGCACCTTCGATGTTTTTGTTAGCATAAAGTAATTATGCCAAAAATTATTTATTAATAGCCAAATTCGCAGAATTTAAATATAATTTTCACATGACAGGCCTTGGATGTTTACACTGAGATAAAAGTGTAAAAAACACTTTAGGAAAATTGTCTTCATTTTTTTTTATGACCGGCTTAGAGCTAGTTTCAAATTCCCTCCGCACAGGATTCTCACAGGTGATTGGAATTCTGAGTCCGTCTCATTTCTCTGTGCAGATATGCTGCGGCGAGTTGTGCGACAGAGCAAGTTCCGTCACGTCTTCGGCCAGGCCGTGAGGAACGACCAGTGCTACGATGACATACGCGTCTCCCGGGTCACATGGGACAGCTCCTTCTGCGCTGTCAACCCCAAGTTTGTTGCCATCATCATAGAGGCCAGCGGGGGAGGAGCGTTCCTCGTCCTGCCTCTACAGAAGGTGAGGACGGAAGTCGACTCTTTTAGCATTTTTGTCGAGGGAAGTGCGAGGAACGCAGTCACAGGCCGTGCGTCAGGCACATCCATGTTGGGATCCAGCAGCAGTGTGTTGTCACACTTCTAGGGCTCAGATGGTCAGATAGGGTGACGAATCAATCCTCCAGGCCTGGTGATCACATGGGTTCGGTCCTTCAGTGACCCTGTCCTCAGGCTCATGTCTGCAGCACAAAAAAACCATAATCAATGTGTAAATGTGAACCACTGTAAAGGCATCTGCTGTGGATCCTGTTACACTTCCCTCATTTCAGCACATGATCCTCACAGAGGGGGGAGGGTTCACTCCCTCTCTCTTTCTCTCGCTCTCTGTCTCTCCCCCTCTATTGTCCTGTAGGTCACAGGGTTCAATGATTGATGTTCTCTGTGGAAGAGAAGTTACCTTTTCTCAATAATATTTCCCACTGCCTGACATGTTTTTAGGTCAAATGTTGTTTGTATCTTGAGTATTGTCATTGTTTTTGTTTTTGTTTTTTTTTTCAGGTCCTAAAGCTAACGTATTTAATTTTTCTTTTGACTCACCAAACTCACTTTAGCTTCCTGTAACCCAGACCTTTGCTAACTCTTAGCGATTTTGTGCTATTGGCACTAGCTCCTTATTAGTTCAGTGTACATTCGATTACTTTAATGAATTTTTGCCAAATGCTGACATTTATCAGCTAACTGGTTAATGCCAGCTCTCTAGCAAAACTGTTGTTGGCTAACCAGCTGTAGCTAACAATCGTGCTACACTGTATTTCTGACACTTTGTAGTTGTGTATAGATTTACAATCAGATTTATCTAGAGTTTTAACTAATATTTACTACCTATGTTTACCACAACGTTTGTCCCAGCTTTCCTTCTCAGCTAGCTTTAGCTTTAGCTCTTTGATTTGGATCATGTTCTGTGGCCTTTACAGAAACCTGTGTTAGATGTTTCTGTGTAAACAATAGGCATTGTTTAAAAATATAATTTTCTCGATTAGAATCACAACTTATTGGCTCTTTTCAAGATAAACATTTAAAAATGTCAAGGTTTTGTAGAAATAATGTTTTGAAAAAGTGTAATAAGGACTCTTACATGAGAAGTTTATGAATATCTGTGATGTCTAGCAGCAAGGATAAAATAATTTGTAAAATAGCCAGAATTAAAATAAAAGAAGATTTGAAAGTATTATGATTATTATGAATTCCCATGGAGAATACTAAGTATTACTGTAGGTAAGTTGTATTACTCCAATACTGATGTTTACTGATGACTGTTATTGCACGACCTTTTAAACGACCTTGTGTTTCTTCCCTGTCTGTCCTGTAGACCGGCCGTATAGACAAGGTCTACCCCACGGTGTGTGGTCACACGGGCCCGGTGCTGGACGTGGAATGGTGTCCTCACAATGACCTGGTCATCGCGAGTGGCTCTGAGGACTGTACGGTCATGGTGAGGTCGTCTCGTGTTTCTACAGTGTGATGTCACAGCATCACATGGTGGAAGATCATTGTCTCTGTTGTCATTGTTTAAAAACATACAGTTTGACCTCTGGTCAGATCCTTTTTTTATTATTGTGCATCAGGAGATACTGACTGTTAGAGTAGATGGAGTTTTCTTTCCTTTCTAGAAATGTCCTGATTTAATTAATAACAGACTGATTAGACTGGTCAGTCAGTCATTGTGATTTGTGCTACATGGAGGACTGTGTTGCAAAACTGATATTTTTTGCCAATATTGTCCAAACACTTAATTTCCAGTTCCGATATCAACCGATACTGATATGTTTATATATTTATTTATCTGTACAAACCACTGTATGAGATTAATTAATTGAGCTGCAATGCTGCCATCTAGTGACTTTCACTTGAATATACAGCTGTTTATCCCAAAAACTATTTTTAGGGTACACATCATTTGGCAAAACCCAAACCCCAATTCTTACAGACATAATATGCTAATGTCAGCCGATATATTTGGACATCCTTAGCAGGAATTTTTATTTTTTTTTTTTTTTTATTAAATAATGTAATGAATGTTTTCAATGGTTTGACAGTCCTCATTATTTTATGTATGTTCCCAGTGTTAGTAAAAATATATTTCCGTGCGTGTTCTGGTTCTAGGTTTGGCAGATCCCCGAGAACGGACTCGAGTCTCCTCTGTCGGAGCCTGTGGTCGTGTTGGAGGGTCACTCCAAGAGGGTCGGCATTGTTTCATGGCATCCAACTGCCCGCAATGTTCTCCTCAGCGCAGGTAAACTTCAGCCGAGACCCCACAAACCCCTGCCCCCCCCACAGGCTGATCTAATTCTCTGTGTTTACATGACTGCTCTGCACAGCTGAACTCCAAATCTGACCCTTTATCTTCGCGCCCGCCTTCTGTTGCTTTGTGTGTAACAAATGGCCCAAAATAGACTTTGACACGGAGGAGTGTGTGTGATATTTATGTTGCTGTGTTTGTGTCCATGTTAGGGTGTGACAACCAGGTCATCATCTGGAATGTGGGCACAGGAGAGGCCATAATCAATCTGGAGGACATGCACCCTGATGTTATCTTTAGTGTCAGCTGGAGCCGCAACGGCAGCCTGCTGTGCACCGCCTGCAAGGACAAGAAGGTCCGCGTCATCGACCCTCGCAAGAAAAAGATTGTGGCGGTAAGTAGCGTGTAGAGTGAAGGACTTGTCACCTTTAACATGTTTAGAAATATATATATTATATATGTTTCCAGTGAGTCTCAGATTCTTTACTGTCATTTTAAGCAACAAGGAATTTGGTTTAATTTTTAAACTTTTTATTAGTTTTGTTTGGTGATTACGTGTTCTTTTACATGTAGATCAAAGGGGACACTAAAATGTTAACACTGAATTAGGGCGCCCTCTCCTGGTTTCTTCTTGCATCAGCCACAGGGATGTAACGATACATTCAACTCATGATACAATATAATTCATTATTTGTTTTTTGTTTTTTTTTGTTCACTATACATAACATATATAACATAAGAAGTGAAAGAACAGGAAGTGGAAAGAGTTCCACTGGAGAACACTGTTGGTGTCTGGAACAAGTTCTTCCCACGTTCTGTTCCAACACCTGAACATCTCTTAGCCTTCGTAGGGACCTGATGTCTGGGTTTGATAGTGGGTCACAACCAACGTTTTCAGGGGCATACTGCCACCTACTGTACTAGAATGTCTAGTGTCATGGTACGACCAGTGAGTTTTTGAGCTAACGTAGCCTACTGCTTACACCTTGATTAAGTCCTTTTTTAACCAATGCGAATTATCACACTTTGTATCGACTTTTTTTTTTAACCCATTCACGATGCATCGTTACATCCCTAATCGGCCACTGTGAGGCAGCATCATGTTTTTAGACCTCGACTGTGACCTTTCCCCTTTAATGTTAGAACGCCATGTCAGGTTCCAGATGGAACATGACGTCCTTCTTGGAATAATATCAGTCAAACGGGGCTTTACTCTCCTTAACAGTCGGGTTTGTCTGTTTTCAGGAGAAGGACAAAGCCCACGAGGGAGCTCGGCCAATGAGAGCGATCTTTTTAGTAGACGGAAACATCTTCACCACTGGATTCAGCCGCATGAGTGAGCGCCAGCTGGCTCTGTGGAAGAGTGTATGTGTCTGCAAAGACTCTCTTCATGTTAAATCCATCACAGAGACGCCGTCGTCCGCAAATACACTGTAAAAACAAACACAGACGTGGATCAGCACCAACACGTAACCGTGTAACTAGTTTTAGTTGAGTGTGTGTTGACTGGGAGTCAAACTCACGTCCTGGGAAAACATCTTAAAAAAAAAACAAAAAAAAACTTTGAATCTGCTCCAGGACGACAAATTAGCAGCAGCTTGGAGAAAAAAAAAATTTTATTCTCCCTAAAATTGGAGGAACGTTTTATAAGGTCTGAGCTAAAAATATCTGACAGGCTTTCCCAGCAGAGCGTGGAATCGAACTGACATCAAGACGAGAAATTCTTTCTTTATCAAGACAGAATTCGTCTAACTTTCAGAATTTACTTCTTTTTCAACCCTAGTAATACCATACTCTGATATACCAGAAGGTCATAAAATCTCATGTTAAAGAATAGAAGTTCCAAATGTAATGTCTGTACCACGTTAGCTCCAAAAGAGGGCGCTGACATCACATCACATCACATTAGAGGGAAACCTGCGGTCGTCGTCGTTGTCAGACTGATTGACCTCAGACCTGTAGAAATAGTTGACTGTGTTTTGGTTTCAGGACAACATGGACGAGCCCATCTGTGTTCAGGAGATGGACTCCAGCAACGGAGTCCTGCTGCCCTTCTACGACCCCGACACCAGCATAGTCTACCTGTGTGGGAAGGTGAGGTGCTGCGAGAACCAACGACGAATCAGTTTTTTTTTTTTCCTTGAATCCATTGATTAATATTCAGGAGCTCATGTTTGTCCGCGTCTCCTCAGGGCGACAGCAGCATCCGATACTTTGAGATCACAGACGAGGCGCCGTACGTTCACTACCTCAACACCTTCTCCACAAAGGAGCCCCAGAGGGGCATGGGATACATGCCCAAGAGGGGGCTGGATGTCAACAAATGTGAGATTGCAAGGTGAGGAGGTCGATAGTGTTTGGTTTTGGTTTTTATTGTTATTATTTTTAACTTTTTAATTTTATTCCATGTAGTACCTTTGGTTCTCCAGGTGTAAAATTTGTCACCAATGTAGACACACAAAATATATATACATGATTATATTATATTTATACATATTTCTATACATTGTGTTCAATCAAAGGTAGCCTCAAGTCTCCTCATGGTAAGAAATATACTGTATGTATCTATGAATCACAAATATAAAGATTGCTGTTGCTTCTGTCACATGGTCAGAATTGTCAAGAATTATTGGTTTGACAAAAACAAACGTGATGAAACTGTTTTTGCTGCCTTTAATCGTAACCTGTAGTACCAGGACAGAAACAAACAAAGTACAAATGGTTCATTTAATGGAGAAATACAAAAAAAAGATTTGATATTTTAAATGGGAAAATGAGGTCGAAATAACAGTGAATCTGTTTCGTCTTAGGTTTTACAAATTACACGAGAGAAAATGTGAACCAATCATCATGACAGTTCCACGTAAGGTAAGTGGGTTTATAAAACCTATTGTTTCTACAACAACTGGCTGCATGTGTTACAGTTCTATTCTTATGCCATAGCAGTTGTGAGGCTAATGTATGTATATATATGTGTATATGTATTTGTATATATATATACATACAGTATATAGATATATATGTGTATATATATATATATGTAAGTATGTGTTGTAAACAGTTTGTCAATGAAGATTATTTAAGTTTCCTCACATTTTCACCTTTCTTCACTCCCAATGACACGTCTCTGCGTCCTTGCTCCTCTCTCTTCAGTCGGACCTGTTCCAGGACGACCTGTACCCAGACACTGCCGGTCCTGACCCCGCACTGGAGGCAGAGGAGTGGTTCGCCGGTAAGAACGGCCGCCAGATTCTCATCTCACTAAAAGACGGCTACGTCTCCACGAAGAACCGAGATCTGAAAGTGGTCAAGTCCAACGTCCTGGAGACCAAGCTGGCTCCGAAGGCAGAGAACGCTCCGACCATCCAGAAGCACGTTACTCCGCAGCCCTCAGCAGTGAGTGTCGGTGCATTCACCACGACCGCATGTCACCGTTACCTAGAACTTACCTAGGGACTCACTTGTTTACATCGTCTAGGAATATTAATCCTCCGCTCACAGCAGGGCTGGGTCACGAGCAGATAGAGGGAGCGTTCTTGTGAACTAAGAAAAATGAAAAAGTTACGCATAAAGGCTGAAATACTAAGAAGCTTTTATAATTTTCTACACCATCTATTGGGGAAATGTGGGTATTGCAGGGAAAAGGCAGAAGTATCATGATAACATAAATAAATTATATAATTTGGAAAAGTTTGATGGGCTGGATTAAAAAGCTGAACGGGCTGCATCTGGACCCCGGGCCTTAGTTTGCCAGTGCCTGGACAAGTCCAATTACCAACACTGAGAGCAGTTAATTTCTTTAATTTTCTTATTCTGCTGACTGTAAGTTCTGCTGATGTTAACAGTTTCCCTATTTGAAGTAATTATTATGGTTGGAACCAGTTACAGAAACCATGGATCAGCACATACTTTGCTATTTGTGTCACAGTTTAGTGTTGAAGCAGAGGAAAATCTCAAAGCCACAGAGTTTCTGCGCACGTGGTTTGGATTTTTTTTTTTTTTTTTTTGTAACAGTCCTCACCTATGGTACGCAGCACAGAGACCGACACTGGAAACATTTTTCATGAGTTTAGAAGGAGAAGTGAAAAGTGTGTGTGGTCCAGTTTACACTTTGTGCCTCTGTGTTCCACCAGAAAATGGAAGATAAACTGGAAGAGGTGCTGCGAGAGTTCAAGTCACTCAGGGACCGCGTCATCCTTCAAGATCGTCGAATCGCCAGACTGGAAGAGCAAGTGGCCAAGGTCGCTCTGTAAGACGTGGCCCACTTCCCCTCCGAGAGCCGTTCGTCATTCCTGGAAGAAACGACTGGATGGCGTTCAGCCGCGGCCAACTTCTCAAAGATTCGGCCTAATTTGTTTGGCTAGGTGTCATGTCTGTGACGCGTCCAAGCTGACATTCCAAGAAAAAGAGAAAAAAAACAACTTTTAAATTTGTCTCCGTTAAGCCCTCTGGTTTCATACTTTGCCCAAATACACACAAAGAAAAACGAAAAGAAATCAAAAGGAACTGTTGCAGCTCATGTTCCCAACGGAAGAAAATATGTTTTTGTTGAAGGAAAAGTCTTAATTTTTTTTCTTTCTTTCTTTTGAGTTTTGTTTTTAAATTGTGGTAAAACATTCTTTTGTGAAGTTTGTACTTACTACGACTACAACTGTATGTAGCATCAGTATTTCCATTGCTCTTCTTTGTTGTTGCCAAATATGGATTGTGTGCTGTTTCATGCACTGCTTTTACATTTATATTCTTTTTATTTCTCCTGTTGTACATTCCAGTCACAACCAGGTAGAATGATTTAGTCGAGCTGGATTTTATTTCTTCATCCTTTTCTTTTTTTTTTTTTTAAACAACAGCTGTTGAACCTTTTCCTTCCACCAGTTCATTGAAAACCATCAGATTTATGAATGTGGAAGAATTCCTTCTGAATTCATTCGTTTCCTGTTCTTCTGACACTAGAAATAAAACATTGGGGGTTTTAAAGAGGGGGTAGGGTGGGTGGGCGGGTGGGGGTATTTGCATCTCTTTCTCTCTTTCTCTCTGGTGTAAATGTAGTGCAAACATAGTGGTGCCTCTTTGACACTGTCCAGGGTCGAGGCACTAAAGTTCGCCCCTCTCTCCACTGCGTATATGGTGGTAGGAAAGGACCACTCTGCCAACTTGTGTTTCATTGAACCCATGATGAACAGTTCTGTGCACATAATAAAAAAATTTTACACATGAAAATCTCAGTTTGTTTTTTTCTTTAGCAGAGAAACATCTGTTTGTCTCGTGATATATATTAAAGCTGCCATTTTAAATCTCACTACATTGATTTACAATATCATTTAAAAAAAAAGGTTTAAAAAATGCTAACTTGGCTCTTGGATGAACAAAATTAGCATGGTAACGAAAAAGTATTTTTTTTAAATGACAACCAATTTCAAGAAGCATTCATAGATACTTCAGTGAAGACTGTTTAGAAAATGTCAAATGTCTTCCTCAGTTCCCATGAGCACCTGGGAACTTCTGGGTGGATGAGCTTATTTAAGTGGCAGCACGAATTGAAAAGTTTAAAAAAGAAATTTTTTCAAATGAGGTCAAGATGGTTCCAGCTGGATCCAGTTTGTCTGGTAAGTCAGCAAATAATTCTATAATTCCAGTTGTCGATGCCAAAAATCAAAGATGGCTATCACCATGTAAGGAGGTGTTCTTGTGCTAAGCTAGTGCTAGCGGAAAACGAGGTATGAGCTTTTCTTTCAGCAGTTATTGCAGTATATAAGATGAAAACAATGACAAAAAAAGCTACAAAAAATTCAAATTACATTTTACTATCACTTGATTTAAAAAAATATCATTTTGGATGTATATTCATTGTACTGAATGTCATTTTATTTGTATTTCAACTTTTAATGTGAATACATAATTACTTTCCACTTAGATTTGTGTTTTATTTAATTTACCGCATTTAATATTTCTCCTTTTTGTCTTTAATTTTTCTGTTTCTCGTGGTTTTTTCTAGATGTTTCCAGAATGTACAATAATATTTTGATAGAAAAGCTGTTGTTTTCTTTTAACTAATACTGCCAACAAAGAGACACAAACTATTTTTTACAACAAAGAACCGTTCTAACTATTCTTTTCTAGAATGTTCTTTTCCTCATTACTTCCCGTTTTGTTAATTGACTTCTTCACGCTGACGACTTTCACCTGTGTTTAATTTCTTCAGTGTAACTCGGTGTTTTAGCCACTGTAGTACGTCTTTTAGCTTAGCTTAACTAGGCTAGCTTAGTTTAATTTTGTTGAAATATGTTTTTATCTCCACCTCTGATCGCCGTTTTTCCGACTTCGGTGGATCTGTCACTGGGGAGGACCGAGTTTTTTGGACGTAATACCGTGGAAATGGTTTGTGTGTCTGGGAAAGAGGGGACGATGTGGGTGAGATGGTGGGAGATCGTCTGCTGTGGGGACACCTGAAGACGGCAACCAAAATAAAAAGGTAACGCTTTTCTTTTTTTCTTCTCAGTACACATGTGTGATCTTTACCTTTGCTGGCCTGACGGGGGCACTAAAGAAGCCGTTTATGTGATAAAAGTCTTTTTTTTGTCAGCCATTTCATGTCCATGTGTAAAAACAATGTAGAAACAGCATTAACAACCAGTTAAAGTCACTTATAAAACTTTGTTGTTTAGCTTAAGAATTATCATTTTACTCTACAACCTTCCTCTGTGTACCACAAACCTGATTATATTTAAAACCAAATTTCAGTTTGACTCATAAGAACAGGAAGTGAATGATGCAACAACATCCTGTCTGTGAACGCAGGTCCAAGCTATAGTGTTTTTGTTTTTTTAGAGTTGATATGTGGTAACCACAGCAATGCTGCTGAAATTTTCTGGTTAAAATGACATTTGTAGATGATGCTGTAATTTGTTTGTATATATATATGCATATATGTACTGTACATATATATATATATATATATATAAAATCTGATATTTAAATGCCTACAATTACTTCAAAGTTATCATCCAAATGCTTAAAGTTACATTGAATTTATTTTACTCATTCAAACACTTTGGATGACTTGCTGTTATAATTTTTTTTTTTTTTTTTTTTTTTTACTGTTGGTTATTGACAACAGAGCAGAGGCAGATGTACTGCATCAGTTCAGTTTGGAGAAACAGTTTCCTTTATTGAACTGAAATCTCAATTGTGAGCCGAGAACATGTGGGCAGAGTAGAGAACTGAGCACTTCCTTAAAAAATGTGTTTCTACTGCAACTGCTACTTTTAAAACGTACCAATAAGGGCATTAGGATGTGTGGACGTGTGTCCAAAAATATGACAAAAATACGTAAGCCATGTTTATTATTGAGACTGAAAATTGTATAAAAAAAGCTTTTTTGTAGTCTGAGCTCTGGTTGCTCTGTGATTCTTTAAGGATATTTTATTTACCTCTTTGTTTATAAGTGAGACAAATAATGCAGCACCACATTTCCTGTTTCTGCGATTGGTCGGTGTCACAGTCAGAATGTCACAGCTCTGAGGACGTTCATACGCCGACAGTGAAATGAGCTGAAGAGCACGTAGCGATAATTCGATTTCAAACTCACTTCTCTGCCTGATTTAGCAGCAGAAAGGTAAGAACTTTGAACTTTTATTATAAAACACTAGAAATCTTTGTTTTCCTGGAGTTTGTTTTCAATCTTTGATTTAATTTGGTGACAGTGTGTTTGATGTCACATAATCACCATGGTATAAAGTATAAAACTCATGAAAATTTAAAAAAAAATCCTTAAAAAAAATAAGACATTATTGCATTGATGTCATTGATTTATTTTAACATGAATCCATGTTTAATATTAAGTTAATGTCATTCAGACTTTTTTTACATTTGAAAACAGTTTGAAAACGTTTTGCTCCCTAGAAACTATTTATCAATTTAAAAAATCAAGAGTTCTTTTATATGTGGCGATGGTTTGAAAATCTATTTCCTGTCAGTTTTACTGAGTGAGTGTAGTAACGGGTGTGGTGTAATGTCACTGCAGCAGAGACACATGACCTGCTGTTGATCCACATGTGTGTGTGTCTACCCTGCAGCCTGTTGACGTGAGTCTCCACAGTTCTTTCAGAGCTCTGATCATGAGGTTCCTTAGCACCGAGGCGTCCGTGACTCTGTTCTGTGGAGTCTGTGTTCTTTTCTCTTTGGACGGTCAGGCCACTCCCGCAACACTGATGTTCAAAAGCAGCACGACCGCCGACAAGACAGGACGGACGGTCACTGTTGGACCGCAGAGCACGACGGACGAGCAGTCGACGAAGGCCTGGAATCCAACAGGGACAGGAAGTCGTGCAAACCTTGATGCAGGTGCAACGTCTGAAACGACCTCGTCTTCTACAGTGGAAACTGAAGACACTGCGGTGACGGCGACCTCCAGAAGCTCGCCATCACAACCTCCTTCCACCGGCGCTGCAGAGACCACAGCTGCACATGTTCTTCAGTCGACCTTCAAACCAACGATGACCTCCGAGGCTGAGGAATCCAATCAAACATCTCCAACAGTTCCATCTTCATCCAACACCGTGTCGCAGACGTCAGCTGCAGGCCTCGGAACTTCATCCACGCCGCAGCGCGACTCCAGCACAACCGACCGAGGCTACACGTCCACATTGCCTGACACAACGAGCTGTCTCCACCACTGACCCCCCCACCTCTACAGTCTCCACCACTGACCCCCCTTCCTCTACAGTCTTCTCCACAAGTCCAACAGGATCCTCTGTTGTTTATGTTCCCAGGAAGTCCCCCCCCCCACCCTCCACAGCCCCCACCCCTGCCCCCCCCACCTCTACAGTCTCCACCACTGACCCCCCCACCTCTACAGTCTCCACCACTGACCCCCCTACCACCTCCTCCGTCTCCACAAGTCCAACAGGATCCTCTGTTGTTTATGTTCCCAGGAAGTTGCCTCCTCCATCAACCACTTTGTCTCCATCAACAATATTAACCAGATCAACAACAGCAACAACAACAACAACAACAACAGCAACAACAACAACAGCAGGGTGTGGGGTCATTCCCAGCCTTGGGGTCCAACCCTGCTCCACACGTGGGCTGGTGAAGCAGTGTCTCATCATCGTGGCCTGCCTGGCCGTGTTGACCACCATCTTCATGGTCTCCACCATCGTCCTGTGCACCAAGGTGTCAACCAGGAAGTACAAGCTCCGAAGACCTCAGCAGTCCACGGAGATGATGTGCATTTCCTCGCTGCTGCCCGAGAGAAACTACACCTACGCCAGGCAACGCAGCCCGGTCTCCAACGGAGTCCTGGTGATCCACGACCGAGCAGACAGCGAGGAGGAGCTGGGAGATAACCTCACGCTGAGCAGCTTCCTGCCAGATAACGACCGATACGTTTAGAGACTTTTCTCACCATCAGCCCTGGACTGATCTCAGAGATATGGACCTCTGAGCTTCCTCTTTGATGTCAGCAGTTTCTCTACACGAAGAAGAAAGTCACACTTTGATGTTCAGGAACCATGGCTTCAACGTCTGGTCAAGAACCAAAACATTTTCCTGACCTTTAACCAGAGTGAAGATCAGGATCTGAGGTTTTTATCTGAGCGATGAGAGACAGGAAGTGGTAAAAAGTGATGGATGATGAACTCTGATGAAGACGGAGTCTGTTTGGAAATGAAACTCACAGAATAATTTATTAAAGATGTCTCATATTTGAAAACACCTTTTCTCCCTCATGTACACTGTGATTTTCTTCTACTGTTACGGTTGGTTTGACTTTTATAAGAGAACTCCAGGACTGACTGTACATTTTGGGAAATTTGAGACTTTGTTTGGAGTTTAATACAAACCAACTGCATTTGAAGTAAATGGTTTAGTGCATAAAAATATTTAATTTTTTTGCATTTTTTTTTTTTTTTTTTTGCTGTCAGCCCAGAAATGGCAACAAATCAGCCGCAACGCTCCACGATCCAAACGAATGAAAGTAAATCTACAATAATTTAGAAGAGGATTATAATTGGCTACTGCAGTTTAGCCATATAAAGAGATATTTGATAGCTAGAAAGAAATTTGCAAAATTTAACAAAAAAGGTCGGCTGATTTAAAAAAGAAAAGTAAATTAACCCTGTGGTCAGATCGACCCAAAAAGGAAAAATAAATAAAGTACTGGAAAATATTTTAAAAGGAGGCCAGTTACAACACACAACTACACAAATACAGCAAAAGAAATACTAAAACTAAATCAGTAAAGAAGAGCAGAACATTCAGAAAATATATCAAAGATAAAGCTCAGAAAAACAGGACAAACGAGTCTCAGACAAGAATAATTTAATATTTAAGTAGAACGGTTAATTTTGGATTTGAAATCCAAGCGGGGATTCACCAGTAATTGAACAAATCTTTGTGCCAGAAACGTCTGAAGTGGAGATTAGGTGCTGATGAAAGAAGGCCGCTCTTGTCCGTGGGACTTATTTGTGTTCTCTGTAACTCAATTCACTTCCTTGTTAGTGTGAAACTTCATGAAAGACTTTGCTTCAACTCTGGACTTCATTTCATATTCACTTCCCTTCTTGCAAAAAGAAACTTGAGCCCAAGAAACTTTTGGTTGAGCTCTGAAGTTATTCTTTATTCTTTAAGTATTTACGTGTTTTTTTTTTTCTTTTTCTGATGATGCATCACCAGAGTACAGACGAATGTAAACCTGGAGGAGATGCTGGAGAACGTCTGCCGCTCCTGATGACCATATAAAGCTGGGTTTGTCTGGACTTATCATAAACACAGAACACTTGCCAAAATTGTATTCGCACACACACACGGTATCCTGTCACACTGCCTAAAGTGGTCACACACACCATGTGAGTTTGGTTGCGGTTCGCTCTGAAGGAAACTAACTCACCTCATTGTTCCCTTTCAGCACCTCTCCTTCCCTCTCCTCGCTACACAGGAAACATTAACCTTTTCCTGCGTTAATTCAGGCACAACACTGGTCTGTCTGAATTACCTGCTTTGTTATTAGTTTAAAAATACACCGAATGACTCAAAAGCTAAAAAAATGAACTCAAGATTAGACATTAGGCTTAAAACTAGCTTAGAAGTAGCTTAAAAACTAACTGTGACAAATAAAAAAAGACTTCAGAATTCAGTTGATGATGGCAAATTTAATAGAAAAACGTAGCATAAAATAATTGTTTCAGTGTCAAAGATGATAAATACACAACATGGAAACAGTTTGAAGTTAGTTAGCCTAAAACAGCTAATAGTGAGCTCCAAACTTTTTTTGAGGTTTTCCACATTGTAAAACAGTAATTGTTTAAAAATTGCTTTAAATTGGCGAAAAATGAATCTAGGCCGAACACGCTGAAGGATAATTTGGTTGGCAAAAGTTCAGCAAATTCAAAAGAGCTAATAGTCTAACAATATAATGACATATTTTAGTCACAGTGGCTAAAAAGTTTGTAAAGATCCAGCTAAATGTATCTGGAATGACTTAATATGCAAACACAGAAGAAGCTACTAGCTTAGCATTAGCTAAACTGTGAAAAGGCTTTCCCAGAGTTGGCAAATTGTTTGAGAAAACAGAGCCAAATTCAAGGAGTCAAATTACTAAGAAACTGACGATATAACTTTGACCAATAATAGCTACAAGTTGACCTAAAAACCTAGCTGTAAAGCTAAAGAAGAGCAAAGCTGTTTCCCAGTCCTCTCCTGGCTGCCCAAACAGGAAACATTAACCTCTTCCTGTATTCATTATTCACAGACCAACCATTCTCTCACCTTATATATATATATATATATACACACACACACAGTATATAGAGGTGTTGTTTATCACTGGTGTCAGAGCTGATCTCAGATCAGGAACGTTGTAGCCAACAGGACTGATCTGCTGCTGAGTTTGTTTGTTTAACGGCCATTAATTAATGAGTGATATTTTTCTTATCTTTGTTTGACACGTTCATTTACACACACACACACACATACAGAGGAGGAGTTTTGGGGGGTCGGCCCTGCCCCTGCCCCTGCCCCCACTTCATATAATAAACTGTGGCCCTAACAAGAACAATCTGTGTGTGCACACACTCCTGCGGAAACCAAAGAGGGGGGAGAGAGAGAGGGAGGGAGACAGAGGGAGAAGGAGGGATTTGTCCTCATGGTTATTTTTTTTTTCTTCCTCATCCAGACAAACCTACAGGCTGAAATCTGAAACTGCCCCAGTGTTGTGGCTCCCTGCTCCGTCTCCCCCCCTGACTCTGTGTTCGTCTCTCACTCCACTCCCGTCCAGTCTGGTTCCTGTCTCCCTCCACACCAGTGGGCTTCTCCTCCTGAGGCAGATGGTGAGTAAAATGTTTCTTCTTCATTCAGCCTCCTACCGACTGTGTGCCCTTGGGCAAACTGTGGACCGTGGGGTCTTCATGTTGGACACACTGTGACGACCTCTTGATGCCCCTGGGTCAGGAGCAGTGATGACCAAGACAGGAGTTCAACGGTTTAAGATGAAGAGAAATAGAATCTAGGTCACGGAAGACGTTGTTGTCTTCCAATAAAATGTTCTTCTTTGGGTCAGTGTTCTGGTTCAGGGTTCTGGTCCGATGTCTGGTTGTGCAGACGTGTGTGGTCCACGTACGTTTGGTCTGTAATGGGTCAGTGACTGCTTTTTTTAGAGAAGTTGAAACAAAGGTTATCCAAAAAAAGAAAAAAAAAGTCATTCCATTCTGACTCCAGATGAGGGCAGAGTTTAACGTGGCTCAGCTTGCACACAGATGCAGCAGCGAAAAAACATTTGGAGTGACGCAGACTGACTTTGACTGTGATGTTTTAAATCACTGCAGTGAATGAGGACCGTGTTCAAAGAACGCACTTTAAGAACAAAACAAACAAAAACAAACGTCATTCGTTGTTTTAGTCAGTGGAGAGAATTATTACTAGAACTGGATAAAAACCGTCTGGAGTTCCATCAGAGCAGAGACGACTGTGTGATGAAGACGTCGACATGACTTTACAGACAGAAACAACAAACAACGTGTGTTTATCATGTAGCATGAAAGTGATCCTGTGCCGTGGCCAATCACAGCTGTCGTCGGGCAAAGGCGCTTCACCGGTCCATCGCAGGACCAGGTTTGGACTGTGAGAAGAAAAACCAGACTCCACACAACAGGGACGAGACACAACACAGGGGATTGAACCATGATCGGTTTGCTGTAAGGCAAGAGCACTAACCGCTTTTCCAGCCATCTGACCAGGGACCAAAATAGCTTGGAAAGATTTGAAATGACGCACAAGTCAAAAAGTATTCTTTGATAATAATAATAATAATTTAGTGCAGTTTTTGTGGTCATTTTCATCAACTTTCCTGCAGGTCTCCTAATCGTATCTCAGCCCTGTCGTCTTTTGAAAATCTCTTGAGCTTCTCCAGGATGAACGACTTTCTGGTGCGGTCGGTGTCAGTCAGTTTCAAGTGTCTTTTTGAAGACACTGACCAACTGTTGCTGCTGACTAGTTGAACCATAAGGCTCTCACTTCTGGATACACATAAGCAAAAGACTACTGTGTCAGACTGCCTGTGTTGTTCACAGCGTGTACTGTGTTCTTTGGGTGGCATTTCCCTCCCTTCTTGCTCTAAACTGTTTTTCTTACGAAGATGCTAATGCGATACTTCACAGTTCAACTGTATTTCTCAGTATTTTCTAGCTCTACAGAGTGGATTGTGTTTGAGGATCACAGCTAAGCTGCGTGTGTAAGAAACTCCAGACTCTTTTCTGGAAACAGGGACGCAAAAATATTCAGACTGCAGAGAAAAAAAAACAATACAGACACCCATAAAATATACTGACGTGTTCCATACCTGCAAATGTTCTTTCCAGATCTGCACCGTCCGACATGTGACCTCGAAAACATTTCAACATTTTTTTGAAGTTGGACGACTCATGTTTTTCTTTGTTGTTTTCCCGTAGTGACCTGGGCGGTTCAGTGTTGGTCCAGATGCTGAGGCGACCCTGAGGATCTCAGAGACAAACGTCTGGACCGCGGTGAGTGTCAACAACTTGCTGCTCTTTTTTCAAAAGGAAAAAAAAATCAAACAGATGTTGAAGTCTGAGACTCTAATGTGAAGCCAAAACATCCATCGCTGGGGCCTTGACCTGCTTGATGTTCTTCCCAGACCCTGTGGAGAAACGATGCTCCCGACGGCCGGCGCTCAGATTCGTGCGTTGGTGCTGTTCCTCCTCAGCAGCGGGAGCGTGGCCACGCCTCTGCCTCTTTACAGCTCCTTTGAGGGGAGCACAGATGAGGACGACTACAGCGTCTTCCCCTCCTCCCTGCCCACCATCTTCCTTCTCACCGAGTACCGAACCACACCTGTCGGCTCCACCGTGGTGAAAACAGATCTTTTGAGTCAAGTCGCCAACTTTCTGGAGGAGAACATGCTCCTCATCCTGGTCGCGAGTTCTTTCTTCCTGCTCTTCTTCCTCATCGTATGCGGAGCGATCTTCATGAGTCAGAGGCGAAAGGTCAACGCCTACTACCCTTCCTCGTATCCCACCAAGATGTACGTGGACCAAAGGGACAAAACCGGAGGAGCAAAAGTCTTTGACGACGTGCCAGAGAAAGCGGCTCCTGAGCAGGAACGTGAGGCAGTGGACTCTCACAGGCAGCTGCAGGACGAGATCATGAAGGCCGCCAGGAGTCTGCGCACGCCAACTAAACCTGCCGCCGCCGCCGCCGAGGGAAAGGAAAACAGTCAAATGCCGCCGCCGCCGGGGGAAAGGAAAACAGTCAAGGAGCAGCGGAGCTCTGTCCTGAAGACGAGGCAGAGGCACCTTGTGGCAGCTTCCTGGAACAGCAGCTCTCAAGTTTCCCTGAGGAGGAGGAGGGGGAGTTGGGTGAAGACAAGGCCAGAGCTGCAGCAGAGGTGAACACTGAGCCGATATCTGATCAGCCCAAACCACAGGAAGATGATTCAGAGCAGCTTCATCCGGACAAGGATGATTCACAGGCCCCTCCCACCGGCAGGAATCTGCGACCTTCTTCTCTGCACATCCACAACGACTCGGCTACACTTCAGCTGATCGCAGGAGAGAAAACTGCCTTCTAGCATCTTTCTCCTCCAAGCTTTTTTGATCTGTTTTGGTGGTAGCAATGTAAGTTAACGCTGCCATTAAAGTTGCCATTAAGAAAAAATAAATAAATAAACAACCAAAAATATCAACAGAGGGACAGAATCAATGTACAGCAGGAGAGACCGGCTATTGTAAGTTATTAATTTGTTCTAAAATTATGATATCTGCAGTTTCACAGTTTCATCTGTTTCGTGTATTTATGCAAAATCAACAACTCAGACAAACATACGACTGATGATTATTTATTTGGACACTTCCACAGAAACATTAAAAAGGATTTACATAGTAAAACCAGTGGAACCCTTAACATTTTTGCTTAGTTGCATAAACATACAAGAACATCAGGCCCGAGTGTTAAGACAGGTCACCCACTCTCCAACAAACGAGTTATAAATTCAGAACCCCCGCTCCCGTCAAAAAAAAAATAATAAGGCCAGACTTTATACTAGAAACTCAGACATTGTGCGTTTATTTGACAGGCTAAAAAAAATAAAGTGTTCATGGTGCGAAAGCCAGGACTTTAATCCTGCAGAAACACTGGTGAGGAGGTTCGGTGAAGCTCGATGTTGTGCGTTAGTTTACGACAGTAAAATTCTGCATCTTCACCTGCTGGCAGCATGATGTGAGCAGTGATGTCGCACTTAAAGAGTAAAAGAGAACTTTGTTTATTTGCTGGTCTCGACCGCCCCCTGCTGGCTGTCCTGCTGCTTGACACGATAGTCAGCCAGAGCAGCCTTGATGGCGTCCTCGGCCAGCACTGTGGATCAACAGAGAACCGAGGTAAAACAAAGGCACATCAGAACAACATCAGACCGACGTCTGGTAAACAGAAATATACTGAATAAAAAAAATAAAAAAAACCTACTGGAGCAGTGAAGTTTAACAGGTGGAAGACTGAGCTCTTTGGCAATGTCAGTGTTTTTAATTGTTAGGGCTTCATCCACCTGAAGAACAGACAGTAAGAACAGACAGTAAGAGCGGCTCGAGTGCACACAAATAAATATATATAAATACATTTACAGACGTCAGTAAAGTTTCAGTCGTGTGTTCACTCACAGATTTGCCCTTCACCCACTCAGTGGCCAGAGAACTGGAGGCGATAGCAGAGCCGCAGCCAAAGGTTTTGAACTTGGCATCCACAATTTTCCCCTGTTCGTCAACCTCGATCTGTGGAAAGTCAAACACTTGTAAAGTTCTGCTCATCTCAAAGAGGGACGAGACGGTTTTAGGTTCAGGAGGCAGTCACTCGTTCTTGTATCTTACCTGCAGCTTCATAACATCTCCACAGGCTGGCGCTCCTACTAAGCCAGTCCCGACATTCTTGGAGTTTTTGTCCAGTGAGCCCACATTCCGTGGATTTTCATAATGATCAATCACCTTGACATGACAACAGAAGGGAAACAGGATGTTGGAACAGAACACCATGTGATACTAGAATTAAAAAAACAACAACTCACAAACAACAGAAGCACTCAACATGAAATCAATAATATATTGAATTTTCATTTCCCCTAGACCAGAGAATATATAACTAAATTCATTGAGGGTTTACAATAAATTTCCTTCGATACAAAGTGGATAATGACATCGAGGCCGTAACTTGGTTGTCCTTTATATGAACCCCAGTGTCCTGTTCCTACATTTCCTGCTGCGTCACTGAGTCACTGTGACCAGACAACAGTGAATAAAGATTTTAAAACACAAACACACACTGAAAAATCCCCCCATTGTGTAAATAATGAAAACTAAATAACGCTATCATTATTTACACTGCAGGGAATTCTCCAGTGTTTCACCAACGATGTAGCTTTTTTTGACTTCTTCAAAACGCTAAAAAAGAAAACCTTAATTCAAAACAGCTTCAAAGACTCGAGATGTAAATGTTTTGAAAGACCTGACGTTGGTTCTGGTTGTATACTGTACTCGTCTAACCCTTTTTTTTTTTTTTTTTTTAAAGTACGTAGTTCGTTATCAAATACACTAATGATTAACCGATCTCCCCTGTTTCTTTAAAGCTGCAACTGTGTGGAAAGAAAACCTGAATAGAGTTGTTCACGTTTTAATTTATTATTATTATTAAATGTTTTAAATTATATTGAGAAACGCGAAAGAATTGTACATAATGTTAGTTTACTATTATTCAGACTTGTTCTTTAGCAGGGATTACCCGTAAAGTGGTAACAGAACCTGCAGTAGAGTAATAGTCGTTAAAGAACATTAACTAGTAGGAGTAGATACTACTAGTCATTAGTCGCAGTCGTATAAGTAATAGCAGTTAACAATATTAGCGGTCGTAGCCGTTTAAGTAGCATAACAAGTTGTTGTAGTAGCAGTAGTTGAACTAGTAGCCGCAGAAGTAGCAGGGTAGTACGCAGATGTAGCAGCAGTGTAATAGTTGTAGTATTAGGTGTAGTAGTAGCAGTTGTTGTTGGTTGTAGCTGTCTTTATTTTAACCACCTTTCCTGAAACAGGTGACCTTTATAAGACTTTACTCACTCGCTGGTATTAACTGTAAACAAGATGCTAAACAGTGGCCAAACACACTGTAACACGTCATCGTGAGTCTGTGTCGGTTTTACCTTCTTGTGGTAGAAGCACTGGGTGAAAAACTCCGGCACACAAATCCGCCTGGTGATGAGAGCCAGAGGACTAAAACATTTGCTCGTAACGGTGGCCGCCATGTTGACAGACCGTAGCAGTACAGAGTCTGACGCAGTTTACTGGAGAAACTAGCTGGAGCAACGATGTGACGTAGAGATTAGGGGCGGGGTTAAGTGGAATACATCTGCGCTTGCGCATTGGTTCTAGCAGTTACGTATACTAACATGGGTGTTTGGCTACATAGCTACTGCTAACTACAGCGGGTTACAGAGGCTCCTTAATATCCCTGAGTGTTTATAGCAACATCTAGTGGTAAAGTTTCATGGTTGTGATTGAAAATTGTAATGAAAAGACAGTGATTTATCATAGAAGCCATGTGGGCTGATTATTAAATTTTTATTTTATTTATTTTCGCTAGAAACTCGTCCTCAATGGGCCATAAAGGTTTATTGATTTATTATGTTAATCATTACACATGTTTCGGTAAGTGCGCAAAAGTGAACATTGAGGATAGAACAAAAATTACGCAAATAAATTACTTAAAATTTATTAAATAAATTACACTAAAATATGTACGACTTCCCTCTCGTAGATTTACGACTTTATTCTCGAAAACATTACGTATTTTTTCTAATAGATTAACGAATTTTTCCTCGAAACATTACGAGTCTTTTCATGTACGACTTTATTGTCGTTATTTATCCGTCGTACAAAAGCACGAACCTTACTTGTTAAAACAATATTAAATCTAGATTTCTACCAAAAAACCAGTGTCTATAACGGCCCAAAATGAAGTGATTGTGTTGCGTGTGAAGAGGTTAGTGTTGTTGCGTTACCAGATCACGTGGTCGTTGGGGGAACTTTTCGTACTGCAGCCTCATAAACAGCAGAGACAGCAGATAATTCCTTTGCTGTGGTTTGTTTGTCTTGTGTAATTGTGTTCAGTTTTCAGTTCCTTTTTTTGCACTAATTAGGCTATATATTTTATATTTTAAGGGTAGGCTACTTATCATATCATATCTAGTCTTTTATTGTGCCTTACTTTAACTTGTTTACTGTATATGGTTAATAACTGATCATGGCTGAGGAATTCATTTATTAAGTTAGCATTTTAAAACTGTATTTTTTAATTTTCTTACAACTTTTAGCTATTTTTTCATGAAATATTTCATATTCTTTTGTGTTTACTGTCACTGACCTTTCAACCTGCCTTTAGATACTTGGGCTTACGTCATTTATATCATATTTTTAATAGACATTATTTACCTTTACTTGCTTACTTGTTAATTTTATATGGTTTTTATTTTACATAAAGTTCATTTATGGGGGCAGTGGTGGCCTAGTGGTGAAGGAAGCGGACTTCGGTCCGGAAGGCCCCAGGTTTGAATCCACCAACTGCCAGGTTGCCACTGAGATGCACTGAGCATGGCATCGTCCTCAAGCACTGCTCCCCGGGCGCCGACCACGGCTGCCCACTGTTCACTTTGGTGATGGGTTAAATGCAGAGGGTAATTTTCGTTGTGCATGGTGTGCTGTGCTGTGCTGTGCTGTGTCACAATGACTAATAAAGTTTAAGTTTAAGTTTATTCCATCTTGTTTGTGTTGATTTTTCTTTTGTCAGATTTATATCATTGATTTGACCTGTATGTTTTTCAATATGGGTGGAGGCAAACAGCATCCTTCTTCTTCTTTTCCTTCGCACTTTTAGTTCTGTTGCATGAATTGAAAGCATTTCTCAGCAAAGAGAAGAGAAGTGAGAGCTGACAGCAGCATCTGGAGGTTCCTTCCTCATTACGACGCGTGTGAGTATTGACAACAAACGCTTTACTGAATAAATTATAAATAAATAGATTTGGGTTTTTTTTGTGAACAAGGTGTGTTTGTTAATTGTTGTAGGACACGTAACAACATGAGTGTGGACTATATATCATATGACGACTACACGGCGGAGAATGACACCGAAGACACCGCGTCTGGCCATGGATACGACAGCAGCTCGCAGTTGTATTTGACTCATGTCCTAGTGGGGCTCAACATCCTCATCACTGCCGTCGGCCTGGCAGGAAATTCCCTGGTGATCTGGATCTGTGGTTGCAAAATGAAAAGAACGGTGGTCAACACCTGGTACCTCAGTCTGGCCGTGTCAGACCTGTTGTTCTGTGCGTTTCTGCCTCTGGACGTGTTCTACATGATCACCTCTCACTGGCCCTTCGGTCTGCTCTTGTGCAAACTGGTCTCCTCTCTGCTCTCCCTCAACATGTACAGCAGTGTGTTCCTGCTGGTTCTGATCAGCACCGACCGCTGCATCATGACACTGTTTCCCATTTGGTGTCACAATCACAGGAAAGTGAGGAGAGCGTACGGGGCCGTGCTCCTCATGTGGCTCCTCTCTGCCCTCCTCACCTTGCCCTCGTTGATCTTCAAAGAGACAGCCGTGCGTGGATCGGTGACCCAATGCTACTCCAGCTACACGGACGAATCCCGACACAAGGCAGTGGTTGTGACTCGGCTCATCTGCGGGTTTGTGATTCCTTTCCTAATGATCGTCACCTGCTGCTCGGTGCTGTGTGTGAAGCTCGGAAGTATGACTGTCAAATCGAACAAACCCTACAAAATCATGGGAGCACTCATCTTCTCATTCTTCTGCTGCTGGGTCCCCTACCATACCTTCATTCTTCTGGAGTTGGACGTGAAGAACCACAGTGTGGATCTTCTTCAAACTGGGTTAAAGGTTGGAGCCACCTTAGCTGCGTCGAACAGCTGCATATCCCCGTTTCTGTATGTCTTCATTGGTAATGACTTTAAAAAAACTCTGAAGAGGTCTTTGATTTCAAGAATGGATGTAGCCATGGCGGAGGATCTGCGGACAGGAGGGTTCAGTAACTCTAGGTCCAGAACACTGGAAGTCCTCTAGAAGTAGATGGACATCATGGTCTTCAGTGACAGTATTTACACAAATGTTGACAAAAAAAAAAAAAACAGAAAAAAATTCAAAATGATGACGATTTGAAATAGTGTAAATGCTAAAGCAAATTTGTGATCCAAAATATATTTTTTCTGGACGCTCTTTGGGTCCCAAACCAGTGTTTGGCGGTGTCACAATTTTTAAGAGACAAGTCAGAGAATGGGTTCCAGTGTCAGTGACTACACCAAAATAAATTAATGTATATGGATAATATTTTCCTGGAAAACTTGATTGACTTCAGAAATCACCTGTGTTGATTTATTTATTTATTTTTGTGACGTTGACTTTGAAATAAAAGACCCCTCCCCATGTTTCATATACAGAATTCAATTTTTTGTGTGAATAATTTGCTTTTATGTAAAATGTGTAATGTGAAAACATGAAATAAATAAATTACATTTATTACAACACATTGTTATTTTGTAAAACATGTTATCATTTGTTGAGTTAATAAGAAAAAATGAATAATGTTAAATTAATACAAATGAACTGTCATTTTTCACTGATGTGTTTATTATCCCATTGTTTTTTTATTTATTCCCCTTTATTGTATTAAAACAGCTTTTTAGCTTCTGTTTCCCCAAACCACTGTGATTCCAAAATAACGACCCTTAAACACAAAAAAGCTTCATACATATTATATTATCATATATATATTATTACAATTTAGGCCGACAGCAAAAAACAGTAAAAACCTGGATGAATATAAAATATATGGCGTTTATCATTGCCATCCACTGGAGAATTTCATCGATAACAGTTATGACTGTTAACAGAGAGAGTCGATAGAAAATGTGTAAAAAAAATGTTTTAGAATTATTTATCTTTTGTCGATTGCTGCAGTTGTTTTGTGTTGTTTCTCCTGCATTTTGTCTGTAGTGTGTTTTTATCCTGGCAGCCTAAGCTGAGGGCACCTTTCTACCACGTCACGACCTGGTGGCCCCGCCCCCTAACTCCAGACAGGATCTTTTCCTTGCAGTTGCGGATATGTGATGCAACCAGATGACAGGTTATTTACCCAACTTGCCACAGTATACGGTGTTTAGTTAGCAAACAACTTAACCATTAACTCGTTAGTATTTGTAATTCACAACCGACTGCTCGGCTAAACTGTCGTCTCTGTGTTTTCATCGCTTGCTTAAGTTAGCAGCTGCTACTGTCAGCTAGCGGCTGCTCGTGCTCTGGTGTGATTTTGTCACTTTTTAAAAAGGGTCCACGAACGAACAGTTTGTTTCTCGACTTCTTTTCCTTCATAAAAGACCGTTGACATCGGAGTACGGACCTCCGTATGTGTGTATTCTGATCAGCTGGGTTCTGTACTCTCTAGTCTAGAGGATTGTTTGTAAATGGCCACCGCTGCTCCTCCTCCAGCCTCGGGCTCCACCGCGGGCACTGACAACCCGACCCCCGGCACCAGCAGCTCGGCTGCGGCCGATGGTGGCAGCCAGGACAGTACCTTCGAATGTAACATATGTCTGGACACAGCCAAGGACGCGGTGATCAGCCTATGCGGACATCTCTTCTGGTACGTGACGCATTTGATCAAAACACGGCAGTTAGGACGTGAAGTCCACTAGTTGGCTTAACGGAACCCCAGATAATCCCATTTGTCCTACAGTACAGAGGCGAAGAACTAGGTAAACGTTCAAACTAAACGAACCTTGAAAAGTAAACAAATGTAAACACGGGGTTCACCAGGTTTGTTTAGTTATGTATTTATTTTTGTAGTAATCAGTGGCCGAAAAAGTAGGTCCTGGAGTTGAATCCAACTCCAACCGGTCGCATGACTGGTTGATACCAGTTTTGCTAAGTTCCACACGTAGACTGTACAGTATATTTGAAATGAACCCATCTGACATTCTTTAAATTCTTTGGCAATATTTAGATTTAGATGGCTACGTCGAGTGCTGTCTGCAACAGATAATAATTCACAAAATCCATTCATTTCTTTTTTCAGTTACGTGTAACTAGTTAACTTTCCATTAGCGTTTTTGAAATAAAACAGGTCAACTGAGTGGTAGGTTTATTAGTACTGTAGTAATGTATGTAAAAAACAGAGGAAAAGACTCAGAAAGTCACCTGCAGTAAACACAAGTGTGTGTATATCTCTCTATTTACTTCCACGTTGCTATGGAAACCAGTAAAGCAGTTTTGCTTTACAGATTAACTGATGGATATAAACATGACATGTGACATTCACAGACTGTGGCCCTCAGCAAAAAAAAAGGGTTTTATCGTTGGATCAGTTGGAAGAATCACTGACAGCTTGAACTTTATCGCTCGACATTGTTGTGTACTTTTTGTACTAAGTATTTAATTGTGATGTCTAATTGTCAAATGTGTGCGTTGGCTGGTATACATCTGCGATGAATTTAAATTTGCGCTTGTGTTGAGTTGTCGTATAACTGTGCACCAATCACAGACTCAACATCTGAACTCTTATCACTTTCTGACTCATAAAATCACTCTGATCACAGTGGCTGCAGTAACATTTAGGCAAACATTCATGAAGGAAAAGTCAGGTTTGCTTTTAAAATCTCAGATTATCATTGTCGCATTAACCAAACCTTTCTCCTCCTCCCCCTCCTCCACTCACCAGCTGGCCTTGTTTGCATCAGGTAAGCTGAGCTCAGTGTGTTTCTCTTCTTCGTGATATTCTAATACGGTCTAATAAAGGGAAGAGACGTCCTAAACCTGCCGTTGTCTTCGTGCAGTGGTTGGAGACCAAACCCACCAGACAAGTGTGTCCTGTCTGCAAAGCTGGCATCAGTCGGGACAAGGTGATCCCCTTATATGGGCGAGGAAGCACCGGTCAACAGGACCCCAGGTCGGTGCTGTGGTGTTGACTCTCACAGACATGTTGTGTAGTCCTCCCTGTAGAAGTGCAGTGGTGAACGATGACTGTTTCTATTCAATATTTGATCGTGATGAGTAAAAATAGCACTGTTACTGTTTTGTGTCACAGAGAACGAACACCGCCCCGACCACAAGGACAAAGGCCTGAGCCAGAGAACCGTGGTGTAAGTACTTTTTTTTTTTTTCTGTAATCTGACCCCGGGGCAGGCATAAATCAGGGAATTAGGAGACGAAAGATGTGAGACGTGTAGGAACAAACCTGGATAAGGAGTGCTATTGATATTTACTATAGCAGTGATTCCCGACCACTGTGCCGTGGAAAATTATTTATTTATTGCATATAATTTTTTGCTCTTCTGCTAGGTGGCAGCAGATAGCTATAAAAACTAAAGAAAAAAGAAAAGAAAATCAGAGCTGTTGAAGAAGATCTTTGTGTCTTTCTTCAATTCCTGCCAGTATATCAGCGTTGTCTTCAACTAAACAGGCTGAGATTTATGATATTAATTTAAACTAGGATATTATTATATTTCATTACATATAGTTTTTGTGAGTTTTTTTGTTTGGTGGTGTGCCATGGAGTTTTTCACTACAGAGTTAGTACCAAACACACAGTGAATGTGATAATTTATTTACCCTAACATACTACAATATATTTTTTATCATACAGTAGCTGTGAAGTTCTGTGGAATATTCCGGACTATTACTGTCTTTGGTCTGAATTGTTGCAGTAACAACAGAGATGAGCACGAAGCAAACATGAATATTGACAAATGTCCTTCTAAGAATACAGTAGGAACAAGTCAAACACCAGCTGTTAGTCCTGGGTTGACTGCGAGCAATCATGCGATTAATCGTGATTAAATATTCAAATTGATTGACAGCTGTAGTACTGTAATAGTATGTTATTTTACTGCAGTTGTGCAGGAACTTCATCTTCATCATGTGAATCGCAGTCAGATTAAGATTAGGGTTCAGAATAGAGTCATTTCAATTAAAATTGACCTAAAAAAGATTTGGTTGAATATTACTGAGCCCACCTTTACATGATGCTACCCATTCATGATGAAACCATTACAAAGAATGATGCGGACTTTGTGGAACACCCTTCCGCTCCATTCTCAAACTCATTTCCCACAGGGATCTATTAAAGTGCAGAGTGGGGTTTCTGCAGTTCTCTCTCAGGACCGGGTTGAATTTCACCACCTGTTGCGTCACATTTCACCATCTACCACTACCACTTTTACCTCAGATATAAATAAAATGTAATGCATGGGTTTTTGAAATGTGTTCCAGGGATTTCAAGGCTTTGGTTTTGGAGATGGGGGTTTCCAGATGTCCTTTGGAATCGGTGCCTTTCCATTTGGTATTTTTGCGACAGCCTTCAACATCAATGACGGACGACCCCCCCCAGGTACCGACATGTTTGTTCCATAACCTTGGCTATCACAGCACTGAAGCCTGTTATCGACCGTGTATCAAATAACCTGTGTTGAACGCTGTCCCCCCCCCATTTCCCCCACAGCGGCCCCTGGGACGCCACAGCACATGGACGAACAGTTCCTGTCTCGACTCTTCCTATTTGTCGCCCTGGTGATCATGTTTTGGCTGCTGATTGCATGAACGTGTGAAAATGATGGAAAACGATTTTCCCGCAGACTTGAAGGTGCTAATGTGATTCTGCTCTCCTGCATGACACCACCCACTCCACCACTCATGAAAAACCAGGTGAGATTAGAATTGCACCTCCCCTCCCAAAATAATGTTTTCATTTGAATGGACATGGAGCAGCCTGTGGGAAAAATTTCTCCAATTTTTTTAAAGACGCTCAGCTTCAGCTCTGAATTCTTCCGAGATGAACTTTTTAAAAGATCAAATCATCTGTTCTTTCCAATTCTGGATTTTCTTTAATTCTATTTTAAGATGCGGTTCTCAGTTCGCCATCATTCTGAAAGTGATCAGATGTGAATGATTTACTGCAGGAGTAATTTATACAACAGTATTTTGAATTCTAAATTGAAAGATTATTTTTCTCATTTTATTGTTCATTGCTGTAATTAAATGTAAAATACTGTAAAAAAAAAAAAGACTAATTTTGGGACCTGGATAACCTGTAACCGTTATTTTAAATGCGACTTCCTTTCAATTTGTGTAAATGAGGACGTTAATCACCATCTGTGTGTGAACCCATGACGGCGTGTGAATCCCACACCAGCCTTAGTCATCTAGTTAAATGGCGTTTGAAAAACTGAACGACGTGTTTGTCAGTGCGATGTTTCGATGTCCTTCATTTCTGTGTGTTCCACCTAAAGACAAACACTCACTCTGAACTGTACAAATAAGGAAGCAGAAATATTTTGGCCATTTTGTGGAAGAGCTTTATATAAAAACAAAATAAAGTACAAAAACAGTCGGACTGATCTAGTCCCTGGTCTCCTGCTCCCTGTGTTTGTCCTGTGAGATGTTGAACTCTGCTTCGTACAGAATCTGCTGGATCTTTATTTTTGTCTCACACCTTTTCTGCGGAGCGAGTCGTTTCAGAGCGGGAACAAAGCTCAACAGAAATAGTTCGTCCTCATCCCGGGGTCTGCTTCCCATTGTCCCATTGTCTTTGATGAACCATTTTGCTGGGGAGTGCGTGTTCTGAGAGGCGTGAGGCGAAAGCGAATCTGGAGCCGGGCGTCGTTTTCTTCCACCCTTACCCAGGGGTGTGTTTGAGGTCAGCCTGGCCGTAGCAGCCAGCTGGGTCATCTGTGTCTCCTGAGTCATTGAGGGAACCAGTGGCACCAGCCCCACCTGAGGCTTGAGGTCAGGTGGACTAATGGGCGACTTCATAACAGACTGGGGGGTTCTGACAATGTCAGAAGATGTGGTTTCTCCCTCCATGCTGCCAGAGTCATTGTCAGGTTGGTCGTGGTCGTCCTCGTCGTTACCGCAGATGTCTGCCAGTCCACACCTGGAGCCGGTAAAGGGGGCGATAAAGTTCATAATCTGCCTGTATTTCCACTTGCTGTGAATGAGCTCCCCTTGCTTCTTGCTTTTGATCTCCATCCGGACCTCCTTTAAATACCGGTCCCTCATGTTCTTCCATTTTCTTTTGCACTCCTCAGCTAGAAAGTAAAACAGTACGTAAGATTAGGATGAGTTTTTATTTCTGTTTACATGGCTGTGCAAAATGTAAAAAAAAAGGAACACAAAAACAGTTTTGAAAAAAACTTTAGTTTTGTAGTTTTCAGCCTTAAGACCTGTTATTAAAGTTGTACTTGTTAGTTGTTAAGCTAACATGCTAGATTAGGCATGGGCAAACTAAGGCCCGGGGGCCGGATGCGGCCCGCCAAGCTTTCCCAAATGATATAATTTATTTATATTATCATTATACTTCTATTGCCTGCAATACCCACATTTCCCCAATAGATGGTGTAGAAAATGATAATAGCATTTTAGCCTTTATGCATGACTTTTACATGTCATTTATCTTAGTTCACATGAATTCTCCTTCTATCTGCTCCTGACCCGGCCCCCCTGTTCAATTTTAGGGACAATTGTGACCCGTGAGTCAAAAAGTTTGCCCACGCCTGTGCTAGATGCTAGGGTTCATCACAAATAGATTCATTTTATTTTTAGCACATGAACTATGTGAGAAGTATTCACTACCTCTTAGTATAGTAGTAATGTAGTAGTATGTTGTTGTTGTTGGTAAATTCCTAATGTTTTTTTACGGATCTAACTTTTTTAATTTAGCTTAACAATAACTAGGATATAGTTTACTATGAGCTTATGTAAAATGGACACACGCTCATTATGTTAATTATTAAAATTAAAAAATATTTAATTTTAAAAGCAGTGTAGAGAGTATATCAGTCGTCAGATTTAGAAAATATAATTTTACACACCTTTACCGTATTTATTGTATTTTAAACGTTTAATAACAGTATATGAGAATGGGGACAGAACCGTTACCAAATTTGCAAAACAAGACTTATTTCGATTCGTACTTGAAAAATATTTTTAGGATGTGGGAAGTGTAAAACTTTGTAACGGAATTAAACCAGTGGACTCAGTAACATCACGGTTGACGACATGCCGCCGCTTTTACGGTACTTCCAGCCACCTTTGGGCTGACGGTAGATGTGGGAGATAATCCGACGAATACGACCACGTTTCTCCTCCTTCGTGCCGTACAGGCGGCGCACTGCCGAACCGTTACATTTACAACCGTGCTGGCTCCAACGCGGCGCGGCCTTGGCTGACGGGCAGCGGCAGCGGTTACCGCTAGAACGGCATACGCGGCAGCAGCGTCCACGCCACCGAGGCGTCCTGCACTCGCATCGTTAAGATCACACGAAAAACACAAACAACCTGCAAGATATGAATTAAATTCGCGCGTGGGATTTAGAATAACGCGCGTTTTCTGGTTTTCTTCTTTGTTCATACCCAGTAATATCCGCTAAGCAGGTCATAACTGACATTAAAGTTGTGGAAACCAGAAATTATGATGAAATACTTACACGGTTGACCAAGTACGAGGCTAATGTTTCTCCAGGCACTTGCTCGACTCTCTGTGCAGCGGTAGTTCGGTAAAGTCACGTTGTAAAGCTCTGGATAATTATATACGGCCAATATTAACTTTTCGTCCATTTTGCCCCTGCGCCTCTGTGCTGCGCGGACGCGGAAGCGGCAGCTCCTCCCGCCTTTTCCGCCTTGCTGTTACCACTGTGGCTGCAGTGGCTGCTGCGCCGCGTGTTATCGCGAGTGCGGAGCCGTTTGCCGCGTTGCTTCGCGCCGCTGCCGCCGTTACAGGTGGCCATTGTTGTTTTCATTTGACACAGGGGGCGCACGACTCTGTGGTGAGCCTGCCCGAAAACCAGGGTTTATTTAATCATAATAAGATCTCAAAATCGACACATTGTGTAAGCCTAAGTGTCTTGTACGAATCCTAATAAAGTGATATCATATAAACTATCTATAAACATCTGAGTGTTGTTTTTGTTACTTAAACTGAAACAGTCCAGTTGCCCAGAACATAACTGCTTTAAAAAAGATGACTGAGAAATTGTTGCTAATTATGAACATGTTTTTACAAAGCATAAACAAAATGGGCTTCGTGTGTGTATAAAGATTAGCCCAAATTAAAACAATACTGATTGACACTCTCTGTCTAACAGCTCCTTGACTATCTATCATATATATCCACTAGTATACACACACACACACACACACACACATATATATATATATATCACTCACTTCTCATATATTGCTTGTACAACACCACAGTGAACTGTTATCAATCTAATCCCCTGTAATGAATTTTGAATCGTGTGAACAAAATGTGAACGTGATTCCATTCTGCCTCTGGAGAGCTGCAATAACCTGCAGATAGTGATCTCACACGCTCCTCAAACCATATATCAACAACGTGGATGCTATAAACCCCCCAGTGAAAGGATGGGATGGTGTTTATTGTTATCTGTTTTTTCCAAAGCCTTTATAAGCAGAGCTTAGGACAGATTGTGGAAATCCATTAATTCGTATATTTCTTTGTATGAAATCACAGGATTTGTCGGACAGGGGGGATGAATTTAACCTATAATAGCTTCACCTCAGATGTGCACATTGTCAGGGACGTCTGACCGGAGAGACTGCAGCGCACTGATACACAGGAGTCATGATTATGAATACAAATTAGAATCAGACACTACTTACAGCTTTAAGTTTTCAACACAAATATATTAGTGACACAGCTTCATCATTCGATCAGTGTGGCAATAACACCCTGATAAAAACATAATTTACACGAGATCATTTGTTGGTAAATCCAAATAAGAAAGTGACATCCTAAAATAAATTTAGGAGTTAATCCTTTGGTTCTGCATGCACAAGTCTCCGGCACCACAAAAACACCACCACAACATTCATCTTCAAACCGAGGTTTCTAATACCAAGCAATCCCCTTTTCTCTAAAACCTCAACAATAAGGATCTTAAGCGCTCTCCACTTCTCATTTTATGCAGTGAAATCTGATTTCTTTGGGAGAAAGGAATGAGGCAAGATTAACAGAATCTGCCGTCCTCCCTAACCTCTTCACAAAACTGCCCAGATTAGCTAGGAATTAAGTTTCAACCATTTTATGTGTCTGATCCATAGAGGGGATTATAGTTTTACTCTTTTTTTTGCCTCCTAAACTCACTATAAGGGTCTGACGCTGTGTTGTTGTGGACAGAGAAGAAGGAGAACAGCAGCTGAAGTCGAAAACCGCAGTTTGTCAAGATCCTGTGATATTCACTGTAGGAATTTCTTCGGCGATCAGTGGCGTGATGATGATGATGGAGGGTCAAAAAATGTCCTTTACTATTGAAAACATACTGAGCAAATATCCAAAAAGCAACTGTGGCAGATGGACATGTGATGCTGGAGTAAAGGAGAAGGCTGGGAGTCCTGTTGGAGGCCACACAGAGACAGTTCATCACGCCCTGGTGTGCTGCTGCTGCTACTGCTCCCACTGTGGAGACATGCTGAGATATGACTTCCTCCATGAAGGTAAGAACAAAACCAGAAGTTGGCGCTCATTTAAATTCTTTTTAAAAAAAACGAATTCCTCCCTCTGCCCTGAATCTCATGTCAGACCTCCTCCCAGCTGCCCGTCTCTGTGGTTTGCCTCCTGTGATGCTGTCAAATCCCCGTAAACTGTGTGAGAGTCACAGAGCGGAGCAGTTGCCCGTTCAGTTGCAGAGGCGGACCAGGCGCCACCGAACCATTTTCACAGAGGAGCAGCTGGACGCACTGGAGGAGCTGTTCCTGCAGAACCAGTATCCAGATGTGAACACAAGGGAGAAATTAGCCCAACACACTCACCTGAGAGAAGAAAGAGTTGAGGTGCGCAAGTCCTCAGTGTTTGTATGAACACATTCCTGCCCAAAAAAAAAAAATGTTATTTACGATTACTCTTGGAGCTTTAATCAGACAAAGGGTTGGTGAACAACTCAGAATGTTAATAATATAATAATGATATTATTTCTAATACTTATGCTTGTTTGTCTTTTCATGTCATTAAGTTCAAATGAATTGTTTTTATTGTGTTTATTAAATTTAAGATGATGTGACTTTGCATAATGTCAAAGGGAGTCCTCCTGATTAAATATGGAAAAACTTAATTCGGTCACAGGTAATTTATTTATGTGATAAATTATAATTATTATCGTTATTATTTTTACAGGTTTGGTTTAAAAACCGAAGAGCAAAGTGGAGACGCCAGAAAAGATTATCATTCAGTTTGGGAAATACAGAAAACTAATTGTTGTTTTGTCCCCTGTCTCTGTCTGAAAATCAACCTACATTACCTCACACTGTAAAAAGTCCATTTGACTTAAGCCTTGAATGTTTTGCAGCCAGTGTTTTGAATAGGATAATAATCACAGCTATGGGTGAATATACCACTAAAAAAACAAAAAACAGAGTTTGTGAGTTAGAAGTTTGCATTAGATGTGTAAAAGTGCTCTTTGTAACAAATAAAGTACTTTTCCAGAGTTGAATGCAACTTTTAAAAATGTATTAATATAAAATGTGAAACTATCTTAATTTATTATTTATTATATAAATATATAAATAATTATGTAATAAAATTATACTTATACTAAAAAGTACATTTTACTTACACCAAATACATATACAAATGGTTATATATAAGTAAACAAACAATAATTTAAGTATTAGAAAGTAAATACAGTTTCTTTTAAATGTTTTTTTTTCATTTATTATCTACTAGCTACTGAATTAAGATAAACGATTTGTTCAAAGAAGCTAAATGGTTCGTGAACCTAAAAAAGTCGAATTTATTCCCAAATTTAGACAACTTTCTGGAAATTACGCGAACAGTCTGAATCTATTTCCGGTGACGTCATGGAAACGTCGAGTAATTCATCGTACGTAACGTTCACGTATAGCACTGTTGTGTTGTTTTGGCGACGAGTTTGAGAACGTACTACGACAAGCTAACGTTTCTATTTCAAGTTTGTTTCAACCATACAGGTGAATATAGTATCGCCTTGGTTAAACAGAAAATCGAACTCCTGTTTCGTTACTTACTCACTTACTTACGTTTTCGATAAAGGCTAAACGCTATTAGTTGTTAGCCTTGAAGCTAATTTGTCAAACATGGAAGGCAGCGCGAGTGTGAGGAGAGCGCTGTCCGGGACGCTGGTCCCTGCTTCGGTTACAACTATGGCTCTACGGCAACATCAAGAGGAGAGTGAGTCAGGAAAGCCGAAAAAGAAGGTCCTTGACGAAGAGGAATATGTTGAGGTAAATAAATTAGGTAATTAGCTGTCACCAGGCATAACAAAGTATTTTAGCAAAGCTAATGCTAACGACCGTGACAGCATCACAGTTGTTTTCTTTCTGTTCTGTGCAGACCTAGGTTTAATATGTTTACAACTAAAAAGATATAAAACAAGATAATCAATATCTCGAGTCTTACTAATTTTGAGCTACGAAACATCCATTATTTTGCCAAAAATATTCTTATAAATCAGTCCATGAAAATACAGACCACAGGTGTCACGAACGATGTTACCTGAGAATACTCACTCAAAGCGAACAACTATAGGCTTGTACTATCTTGCTGTGATGACATTGGGTATAATATAGAAATTATAATATATAATAGCTAGGTATAAAACTGAATCATTGTTCTTCAGTGATATATTTTGTTTAACAGCCTCACCGCATTAATAAAACAGAAATAAAAAAGTTAATTGAACTCTGTATTTTACTCAGAGCTTAGAGAAGATCATCGAGAGGGATTTCTTTCCCGACGTCACAAAATTGCAAGCGCAGAAGGATTACCTGGAAGCAGAGGAAAATGGAGACCTTGGGAGGATGAGAGAGATATCAATTCGATATGGATCTTCTTTGTCAAAATCTACACCTCAATCTGCTGCTCCCTGTGAGTCTTAGATCAACAAAATGAAAGTGTAGTTTGTAAACGAAGCATTCACACACACTACACTACACAATCAAATATGTGTTTTTGTAATTTTCCTTCTGTATGTGTAAAATTCTATTTTCCTTTTTTACATCTCTGTGTATCAGATGTGACGCCGGCTAGTTTCGAGACCCCCGTGGGTCGTTCTGGATCTCCGTCCTCTACTCCCGGTACTAAACTCTTAAATGGAGGTATGTGTTTATTATTAAGAAAATATTGCAACAAATATTCTGAGCTGTGTATGTAGTTATCGTAAAACTTTAAACTCCCTGTAATAAGTATTGCTTAAGTTAACAACTTGGTTAAATAGGTCACATAACTTAAATATTTCCTTTACATTAAAACATACCTTCACTTGTTTTCAGACATCAAGAATGAAGAAAACAAAGAGAAGGAGCTTCCATCCTTGGACCGCTTCCTTGGCAAAAATACCAGTGAAGATAATGCTTCCTTTGAACAGATAATGGAAGTGGCAGAAGACAAGGAAAAACTGAAACATTCCTGGTTATATGAGGCTGAAAGTGAATTTAAACAGGTATGTACTTTCATGTTATATGTACGCGTTTTGAGGTTGACCTCCTTCATCATTTATCTTCTTCTTCAATCATCAATAATCTCTGATGTGTTTTAGCGCCATGATAACAACCTGGCCTTATTGGCACCAGAGATTGCAGCTCTCGAATGTGTCAAAGCAGGATTGGAGACATGGGAGTACAAAGCAAAGAATTCCTTGATGTATTACCCCGAGGGTAAGATCATCTTCCCCCAACAAAACAAAATGAGCACTTAGGTGTAATTTAATAAGTTACAACAAGTGATTATTTTATTATTAAAATGTGTGCTTTTTTTCAAGGTGTTAAAGATGATGATGCTCTCTTCAAGAAACCCAGGGAGATTGTTCACAAGAATACACGTTTTGTCGGAGACCCATTCAGCAAAGCTCTCAATAAAAGCCAGATTCAACAGGCTGCAGCTCTAAACGCACAGGTACGTTTAAAGATTGTAATCCTTGAAACCAACAAAATGTCCATTTTGGAGGCATACATTCATGAAAAATGAGAGAATAATCTGAAGAAGACAACACGATCGTTTTTATCTCCAGTTCAAACAGGGCAAAGTAGGGCCTGATGGGAAAGAGCTCATTCCAAATGAATCCCCAACAGTAAATGGTTATGGCTACGAAGGAACACCTTCTCCAGCACCAGGTAACATCACTTCAGTCGTGTGGTTGGGAGTGTTGCCTTTACCAGGAGGACACATTTCTGATTGTTGTTGTTGCTGTTGTTGTGGTTCTGTCAGGTGTGGCTGAGTCTCCTCTGATGACCTGGGGTGAGATCGAGAGTACGCCGTTTCGACTGGATGGATCAGACTCACCGTACGTGGAGAGGAATCACGGTCCATCATTCAGGGTACTTGCCACTCTATGATTACTGTAAGGCTTTGTGAAGTCCTTGTATTAAATACGTTACCAAAAATAAATAGATGGAGCCTGCTGGTAAGAGTGTGGTGTGAGCTGAGCTCATCTGGAAATTAAACTTGGGAGCTGACAAGGATGTCTCAAGTAGCTTCTTAGGAGATTAAAATGTACACAACTGCAGACAGAACACAGCCGTTGACTAATTAATGATATAATAAGTTCATATTATTAATTTCTTATCTTTATCAGCACCTTGTATTTTCCAAAAGTTGCCAAAAGATTGTATTCAACGGTGTCTTGTGTATGATGTCATAGCTCATTGATGATGTAGAACTCAGACGTTTCTTTTAAAGAAGACTCTTGTCCATTACTGCATAAATATGAAACTATCTCTAAATAATTTTATTATGCCTGAGCTGCAGCGTGTGCTCAGGATAACCTTACACCATGTCATCCTCAAATAGAAAATCTTTTTTTCCCAATGCACTAATGATGATTCTACCCCTGTAATAGATTCCAGAACCTGGGCGACGAGAAAGACTTGGCATAAAGATGGCTAATGAAGCTGCTGCCAAAAACCGTGCCAAAAAACAGGAGGCGTTAAGGAAGGTCACAGAGAACCTTGCAAGGTAAAGATATTCTTCATTTTGTCTCTTTCAGTGTATGGAAACTATATATATCTATGTCTGTCATATACTTTAATTTGTATTTGATAACCACCTACTGGACAAAAGAGGCTACAATACCACGTTTACAGTAAAACTGTAAATCTTTCCTAATGGTTGCAGTTATGAACCTAACAAACTGTTTTGTGACACGACTCCAGTTCCCTCTAGGGACAAATTAAAATTATTCTAAATCCTGTGGAACTGTCTCTGTTGGCCATGAACTTTTGTTTTGGCAAATAAACTGCTGTTACTTGAAGTATCTGTAATTAGATTAAAGCATAGTTTCTTATGTGTACTGGAGTTGAGGGGATGTCTGTAGCTAAGTTGATCTGAGTGTAGAGTGCAACATAATTGATTCAAAACAAAGGGTGAATCTCTCTTTCAAAAGTCACCATTTCCCAGGACAGTGAAGGCATCACTGCTCCTTGGTGAACTGTGCCCAGGGGCCTAACTGTATTTATGAATCCTGTCAAATAGTGAACTGATTCAACTGCATTTTGTTTTGCAGTCTAACACCTAAAGGACTGAGTCCAGCGCTGTCGCCCGCACTTCAGAGGCTCGTAAATCGGACATCCAGCAAATACACGGACAAAGCTCTCAGAGCAAGTTACACGCCGTCTCCCTCACACAGATTCATTGGCTCCAAGTCTCCGTTTGGCGGCCTGTCGACTCCATCCGGAACACCGACGCCAATCAAAGACAAGACGCCGAGCTCTCAGGACGTGACATCACTCACGGACGATCTTCTGCAACTTCCTAAAAGACGTAAAGCTTCTGACTTTTTCTAAAAGGGAAGGAACTGTTGCAAAAATCTGCACAATGTGAGGAACTTCATTGCCAACTCTCTGTACCGTTTTGTTAAATATTAGAGGCACATCTCCGAGTGTTTTGATGAGAGTGTGATGTACAGACAGAAGGCTTTTATTTTTAGCGTCGGTTTTGTTGATTTGGGTTCATGTCGATCCCAGTAAAATATACTTTAAAAGCTTGTTAAAAAATGTTTTTTTTTTTTGGTCCACTTTTTATATTGTTTTTGAAAATACAAAGAGATATTTGTCATATATTTGTAGTTAGTTTTTCTTTTTACCAGATAATTGTGACTGCCCTGATGAAACAGTTGATGTTTATGATAATTTATGTATTTATAACATGGTTCAAATTCCCAGAGTCCATACAGATAATCACTGTTCACAGAATCACACATATTATCATGGGTTTAAGCCGCCATGAGCCACAAATGCCCCACATGTTACAGTAAAACACAGTGAAGACATTTTAGATCAAGTGATGTCGGTCAGGTATGTGGAAATTGTAGCACACATGCTCCAGTTTCATTTTTACGTCTCTGAAAAACCACCTATTCACAGATTGTGTTTTATGAAAACATCCGGATGCAAAAATGGAATACTGTAATGTAATTGTAATTCAGAGACATTACATTAAATTTATCTTTGGTTTTTTGTTTTACCATTAGGCCTGTCTTTTTTAATGATAAGATAAAACACAGCTGCAGTGTGTCCATAGACACTGAAGGAAAAATTATCACAATTATCACAACCTTTTTTAGTTATAAAGTGATTTATTTTTTTATTTAACAAACACGTTATTTTGTTAAGTGATTTTTATTTTAACAGAGGTTATAAAGTTCACCTCTCTATTTTCCGGCAGGTTATTGTTAAATTCCCCCCCCCAATATCAATATCAATATGTTCTGTCACAATATGGACATCATGTGTTCATATAACGGTATGTGTGGTTGGAGGGAGTGTGACTGGATGTATAAGTCATCAATAATAACATTTTTTAGCTTTTTGTCTTGGATATATTCCTGCTAAAGTAATAGTAATTGACTATTTATATTTCTTACAGCAGCTATTGTCATTTTACAGAAATATACCGCATGTGTGATTGTGGTGAAACCACGGAGCAGAGGTTCAACATTTTCCAGTGAACCTTTAAGCCCCTGAAACTGCTGAGTATTTTATTCATCATGAAAAGGTCAGTCTTTAAATTGTGGTCAAAGAATTAACAGGTGTTAGTCTGCTCCGGGGTTACTTTTTATTATTATCATTATTATTATTATAACCTTTTATGGATGTAGGTTGTTGCCTAGGGCAGAATGGTAAGGTTTTCCTGGTGATATATATAGGGATATATATTAACATTTACATATTTCTAAGGTTCTCACAAATCTTTGCTTAAAATTAATTTAATATCGATACTGTTTTATGTCATTAAAAGAGTAATACACCTCCAAAGAGTAGCTTTGAAGATTTGGCTAGCTTAGCCCGGGGCAACATTGACTTCGCTACAGTAAGATGTAGCTAACTACTGGGATGGGTTTGGGTGCCACCCTGTGTTTATTTGCTGATGATCTTTAGATTATGAACTGTTGCACAAGGTCAAAAAGGTCAGTTCATAGCTAAAGATTTAAAGGCCCGGAATAGAGCCCAATCTAGGAGAACATTTGTGTCTCTGTATTTTAACTGTTAAAACCACTTGCTTAATTAAAAACAAATGTATACCTGTCAAAATAACAGGAACACATTTCATATAGGCTTGTATTATATTGACCTGCGTATATATATATATATATATATGTATATATATATATATATATATATGATTGTTTGTCTGCTTTAAAGAACGAGGGGCGGTGATATTTTGAGTCGCATTAATTGCACTGTAAATTCCAAACGCACACAGAGCCTATAGCATTGAATCGGAGTTAAACTCCGCCCCTGGCTGGCAGCTTCTCCAGCTGGTCGCCTGTGTCTTGCGTGTTTGGGATTGTTGTGATGGGAGTCCGCAGCCATCTTGGATCAGCGCCGCTCCAGCATAACGAGCAGCGGCAGAGGAGGTCGGACGCACACAGCTAACGGGTTAGCTGCACGAACAGGACATCGAAAACTATTTCTCCCTTCGGTGCCACAATGCTTCACTCACTACGCAATTTGTCTCGACACTCCGACGGTTTGTGCGCATAAAACAAATGCGTACGGACCGTGTTAACCGTCCAGCGGTGTAGTTCCGGAGAGGGCGGCGTTGCAGTTGCTCGGTATATTTTTATAATTTCTGAATAGAAGAGTTACTATGAATGGAGGATAAATGTTGCCGAAGGCTGACAGCGGCAGTTTCGTCCTTTTCTCCCTCCTCTTTGTCCTCACGCTAACGGACCCACCACGGACAGGTAATCCACTATTCTTCTTTCTTTTCCGTTTCCGCACATTAACCGTGGGTTGTCGTGTGGAAGTGGGATAAACAGATTACAGCTGAAAGCAGCACAGAGATGGGGGTCACGGGCGGGGAGAGGGCCGCGGGATGAAACCGCGGACTCGAGTTGTGTTTTTCAGCGGCCAATGAGCTGCTGTTGCCGGGCGGTGCGTTGGCATGGAGGCGTTTTATAAAACTGGAAGTAGGTCAACTAAAACCACCAGTCAGCAACCATTAAACGTCAAAGGCATAAATCCATAACCAAACACTGCGTAAATCGCTAATAGTTTGTGGATAAATCACTCTCTAGTGTCAGTGTGTTGGTCAGTGGTGAAAATATAAATGATAATAAATGTCGGATTTAACGAACCTTTAGTTCTGTATAAAGTGTGTAAACGACGGGACTCTACCATATATGTATATATGTATAATGAAGAATATCATCATAATCAATCACATTCACAATGTGCACTATTATAGATATAGTTTGAAGAAATCACGATATTTTGTTTGTAAACAAAGTAACAGCTCTGTCTCCTCTCCTGTAGAAGGTGCTGTGACTACAATTTGAAATACCTAATACGAGTTGCTTTCACAGACAGACCAAAAGCATTTTATATAAATCTAATGTTGTAAAAAAGCATTTTCTTAAAAGAAGAAAAAAAAATCAAAAATGTATTCAAAATTTAATTTGAAATTCATCTTAGAGCTTTGAGTTTCCGTCTCAGTATGTCTGACTCATTTACGTCTGTTGTAGCTTCACAGTTACACATATATGACTGATAAAACTGCGTCAGCCGTTTGTTTGTATAACAGTTTTGTGTCTTCTCAATGCGTATTTAAGACAATCACGTGTAGTGGTTGTGCTACTGTTTGCTTTAATGCACTGCAGAGTCAGGCCACTAAAGACGGTGCACCTTCAAATTAATTTTTAGTCAGCCTCTTCATCTGCATTAGCACGTCCAGGTCTTTACTGAACAGTCGTCTGATTTAACGTCTCCTGTCTTAGTTACTTTGCTGTGGATCCATTTCCCCCCACACTCTGATATACAGATTACATTAATTGACTAAATGTATCGTTAATAAGATTAATGAGAAGTAGCCTTGTGTCCAGAAAAAAGGACGTGACACCAAAAATCCCCCATCTCTTCTTAGAAACCTCAACAGATTACGTTTTCATGTTCTGCATTTTAAAAAACAAAACCAAAACACTGCTCCTTGTCTGTCTTTTGTAACACCCACTTATCATAATTTAAGAACCTCCCCGACCCCATCCCCTGTATCCAATGTGGGTGTACTGCAGCAAGTACTTCACATGTCTTTTTATCTCTTACAAGTATTGAGCACTTTGAATGAAGAAAGATGATGTCAAATGTTTGCATTTATTTACACGTGAATAGAAAGGTTATTGGTTGGTCCTTTGGAAGATTTGTCTTTGAGATGTTCAGTGAAAGTAACTGTCAATGGTATTATTTAAAAAAGTGACATCATTTGTTTTTATATACCCCGACTAATCCATAAAGCAAAGGTTATTTCTTGGTCGTATTGCAGCAGATTTCAGTTGGGTTTTAGACGGTTTTAATCTTGAAATCAGGACTTGTTGTTTGGGTTTCGCCATGGCCTTCATCACAGGGCTCCTGCATGAGTGTACCTGTTTCCTTGTACAAACTGTGATAAAGAGGGTGTGTCTGTGGTATGCGTGCTGGTGCACATCATGTGCTGGCTTTCCAAAACGTCCTGCCCAAGTAGGTAGAATATTCAGGAAAAGAAACATTCAGTTAGCGGTTAGTGTTGACTATTTCATTCTTTTGTATAGAACGCACTGGTTCCATAAAGATTTTTAAGCTCAAAACCCATTGGAGTGATTTTTTTTTTTTTGACATTGCTTCTCATTTTTCTGGCTTCCAATCTTATCCTACAGCATGTAAACAAAACAGGTTATGCTGCTCTTAAAAGCAAATGCTACTTTAGATTTGCTCTTTATAGTTTATTCTCACATCTGTTAGAGGCTTTTGAGGATATTTAACTGTTTGTGCTGTCTTGCACAAATGGGTCTGGATGCTTTTCACTGAAGAAAAGGTCAGAAACATTCAAGTGGAGTTTTGGTTTACACCACAACACCTGAGACAGTTTTAAATGAAAATATAATTATAATCATTCAGGAAAGTAAAATGTCCTTGCAAATTCTTTGAAATTCTTGCAAATTCTAGTTTAGTGTTTCTTTGCCAGATTCTGCCAATTTATGTCACTTCTTTAAACGCATAGTAAATTTTGATCAATTATGCATCTAATTGTTCTTGTATCAGCAGCAACCATTTCTTGCAGTCCAACCTGGACCAGTCCAATTATTGGGCCACAGTTGGAGTCAAACCTTTACACCCACATCACCTAGACATTTAACCTGATCTTTAGTGTTTTTAATGGGATGTGTGGTCAAACTGTAGCACTTTGGAAAAAACCTAAACACATGATGAGAGCATGCTAACGTCATGTAATAGACTCTATTGGTTCATTCTAATCTAATCTGATCTAATATAATCTAATCAATCACCACTTGGGATTCATCCAAGGATGTTCCTGCTGTTAAGCTAAGACAACAACTTCCATGTAGCGTCAGATATTGGACAAACTCAAAAATTATTTTTTATTGACACAGTGCAGTTGATAATTTCACCAAAGCCAAATGATCAAACCGGGCAAAGCTGTCAGGGTCTCTTTAGGTTTTTGTAGTGACTGAAATCTTTCCCTTTGTGTCCATGGGATTTTATGTCCCAACAACCAGTCATCTGAACTTTGTTCACTGTTTTAGAGTTAAGCTGGTCATCTGTTGAATTGGCAGTTGGTTTATCACTGTTTGTTCCCCAAAAAATCTCTCCCATTTGGCCCAGACCATGTGTACACTAAACAGACCATGTTTGTGTTCACCTGATGTTCCAAGAACTGCCCCGCAGTTACAGTTGACGGTTAAGTTGCTCTGACCCAAATAAGGAAGATTTTTATTTGACCCTTAACATACCTTCCTAAATATTCAGTACAAATGTAGTGTATTCTTAAGTGCATTTACTGAACTTTAATCAATAAATTTACAAGTTAGTCCAGGTCAACAAATGCAGTTAACACTTTGTAACCTTTGACATCGTTTGTTGAATCTTCCCAAAGACCATAACTGGTATTCGTTTTTTCAAAAAAAAAAAAAAAAAGAGCGAATTGTTGTTTTTCGTATACATAACAGCCACGTTCAACTGCAGTTAATTGGTTTAAAGCTGCAGTAATATGGCCATTGGCTGAATCAAAGCTCTTAGAAAAAAGACAAAAGTGACCCAGTCAAGGTATAAACTGTACTGTAGCTCATTAAAATACTCTGTCTGTCATTAGCTGTTACAAAATCAGAGGAACTCTCCCTGCTTTGGTCTGTGAAATTGGTTCTCCACAACTATTAGGCTTTTGAAACAAGGCGTCTTTATTCATTCATTCATGACTCATTTTCTTAAGTCTTTTTTTTTTTTTGCTGCATCTGTTGACACTGAAGAAAAGAGAAGTTAGAAGTTGATGGAGAAAAGGGAAGAGAATGCTAAGAGTTTATCTGCTTTATTCTCCCGGTAGATTTCAAGTCTGTCTGTTTTACTTCTGGGACATTGGTATTTATAAAAAAAATGTTTTCTCTAAAACATCAAGCGAGCACTGCATTCATCGACCTTCAGCATATTGTATGCAAGCCGTCGCTTTTAGTGCAACCCAGGGCAAACAAAAATATGTGCTCAGCTTCTTAAAAGCTCATTCAAATCGCAAAGGTGACACTTTTTGTTTTTTTCGAGAAGGCCATTTGTCGAAATGTTTTGGAATGCCATAAACTTTAAACCACAGGAAGCAGAATGGGAATAAAAAATGTTTTCGGTCCTATAATAAAAATGACACGAATGCCTGTACCCACTCACTGCATTTAAAAGTGAGCCCCCAGAGAAGATATGAATCATCGTGAGAGGCTGGCGAGTTGAGTGTTTACACAAGGCCGGTTCACCGTTGCCTAATATTTTGATATACTACCAGGTTAGGGCACTTTGACTGACTCTGCTGGTTATGTAAGAGATGTGGAGCGGCTTAGTTTTCTCAGTGTAGCCACAGTTCATGAAGTTGTTTACATGATCAGAAAGAGTTCAAAGTTTGATCGATTAAATTCTAAGAAATGTACCGTGCTTGGTGTTCCTCATAAAAGTCAAAACACTGAATTATTACTGCATTTTAAAGTACACATCTGATCCATAAAATATCATTTTAAAATTACAGCTCTCGGATAGTTGTGTAGCATCATGACTTAGCAACTTGTGATGGGATTCTAAATTGTACTTTTGAAAGGGCACAAACCCATAAACCTGTGCTGGTTTTACTAAAGAGTATAGTAAATATACTTAAACAGAGTATTGTGTGTTTTTGCCAAAATAATCATGCGATCAAATCATCTCATGTCTCCTACTCATCTTTGTCAACAGGAAAGTCAAAAAAGCCCGATATCTATAGTGGTGAAACAAGGAAAGGTAAATGTTTCTGCCGTTGTAACCCTGTGACAGTGTCACCCTGAGAAAACAGTAATGACAACAAAGCATTGATCAACTATCGTACTCTGACACAACGTTTCTAAGGATATTAAAATGATCGATTTTACTGTTACTTGCTGAGGGTGTGGTTACTGTGCTGCAGAAGAACATCTAGACTTAACATGCAATCAGACCTAGAAAAAAACAAGACGTTAATGCTACAAGGATTTGTTGTTTTCAATGAAAGATACGATTCACAGGAACTACAAACCTCTGGAGAGTTCCAGCATATCAGTGTTATTTGTACCTGATATTCGGAGGAAGGATAATCAAAGTCCTAAGTGGAAGAAAGATGAGTTTTCTGGCAACTACATTGACAAGAGCTCAGAGACATTTATGACGATCACGAGGCCACAGATACAATCAACCAATCAAACGTCCACACGGCAGATGGAGGTGAAGCAGAGGCAGTAGTTCCAGGTGACTGAAGGCATCGGTACTGATTTGAACAGTTCTTTTTCAACCTATAGTCTTGGTTGGTAGGGTTTAAAGGTATATTTATCAGAAATTAACAGGGTCAAAAAAACATCAGCTGTGTTTTATTTAATGAATCACAACCTCCCGTAGAAACACACTCACCAACCTTCTGTCGTGTAGTCACTTGGCATCGCATTATTTGTTCGTTAATTATCGTTAATGAATTAGCCACATCCTGGCTAATTCATGTTGGATACGGTACATGGGTTCTAATGGTCGGCTGGATAATCCTGGCTCAGAGCCAGACTCATTGGTGAAAACTAACACACTGTTCTAGGTTCTACTACCTAGAACAGTATTTATTTATTTTTGGCTATTTAAGGTGAGATCAAATCAGCTTCATCAACAGTTGTATCTCTCTGTTGTGGCTGTGGTTGATTTATGTATTTATGAAAATTTATGTATTTATGTCCATAGTTAGTTTGTTGTTTGTTGGCGACGTTGCGTTGTCTGTGTGGTCCACAGCTGAATGACGTCTGGAAATAGCTCCCAAGCTTCTGGTCTTAGTATAAATAGTGTATCCCTTTTTACAAGCTTAGTGAAGGGGGGGAGCTAGGGGGGGCTTTACTGTAGTCTACTACCACCTGTACACAGGAACAGATGGTCGGATGTTACTGGTTACTGCAACCGAGGAAACCACTTGCCACTGACAAATGCCAGAGATTTTAGAATAAAGGAAAGAAAGGAAAGAATAAAAAGGAAAACACACACAAAAAAAAAAAAACATCAAAACATTTTAAATAGTCACTTGATTTTATTTTTATTTTTTTCGTTTGTTACAGGTCCGCGACTAGCTCTGGCAAGATTATTGTCAGGTAAGCAAGCAGACTGTCTTTCAGTGCAGGAGCTGTCGGGTCAATTTTTAAAATTCTACTTTCTGAAACATTTTCTCGTCTTTTTAAAAATTGAATGAAACGCCCTATTATCGGGAAATATTAAATTTCAATCTAAATCTCTTGGCATTTGGAAGGACGAGTGTTTCCTTCAACGTGTAGAAAATGTGTGTTTCTTAAAGAGAATGGTCCTCTTAGAAGATGTTATTTTTTAAAAAATTTTTTTGTGAGATGGGTAACAATAACCACCACATTTGGTGCCGTCAAATGTGCTATAAAAATTTTTGTTTTACATTTTTTCACATGAATTCATACTTTTCATTACCTCATTAGCTTTTTAAAATTTTATTAGATATGTTTTTTGTATTAAAAAAATTCAAAGCGTCCTAGTCCACGTCCCATTTGACTGATGTTTCCTCAGTGAGCACCAGTGTAGCAGTTCTTTGAATTCATACTCCAAATGTCAACATCAGAGATCCACTTTTATTAACTGTCACAAAAGCTTCAGTTCCCCAGCTTAACCCAGACCTGATTTAGTTCTTTAGTTCTCTCAGGTTTGACACAAACACTGGTTTTTTTGTGTGTGTTTCAGAGCAGCGCTGCAACCCCGGGCAGTTCGCCTGCCGCAGTGGGAAGATGCAGTGTATTCCAATGTCCTGGCAGTGTGACGGCTGGACAGCATGCGAGGACAAAAGCGACGAGATGGACTGTCCCCGTGAGTTCACTTTGTTTTTTTTTTCTTCTCTCCACCGGCTCACTGTCAAGCAACAGTTCACACTTTATGATTTAAAGCCCAGTGTGAAGTTGAGAGCAGAGGCTGAGGCCATTTGGGTTTTTTTTTCCATTTTCTTTCTTCTCTCTCCAGGAGCAGAGAAGTTTTTACAGCAAATTATAGATTTAAATAAACAAAAAGCCAACAACAGCTGGACCAAAACTAGGACATTCCTACTGTACTGAAAACAAATTCTCAGTCAGACAAAGTAGGCAAGATATAATGAATTTCATATATAATTTTAGACTTGACTGATACAACAACCTCCTCCTCCACAAACAACTCCAGCCAGCAGCCACGTCCCACAGGAGAATTGGTAGAGAAATGATAACCTGCAGCAGCCGCGGCAGTTTATTCAGAAACAAAAAGCCGGAGTGGAAGCTGGAACACAGACTCCAGAGGTGGAGACAAAAGCTGCAGCTCAAAAATAGTCGAAGCTCCGAATAACTATGTTAAATCTTCAAATGCAGCTGCTCCGAAAGAAATTTTCAACAGGTCCTGCTCTCATTACGAACACAATGTTCACTTTACAGACTTATAGTTAATGTAGCACAGGCTAATTCTTCTACTGGTTACAGGTGAGACGGGAGGCCTCTTGGTGGCGCAGGAGTTGCAAAAGGTTGTGCACAGTAACCTGCAGCCAGTTTGATTTATTAGAAGTAAAATTATCTACCTGGTTCTAAAAGGACACCTAGAGGGGAGATGGTGAACAGCAACCTCAGAAATGTAATTCATTGTTACAAATGGTAATTAAAGTCCAAATTTTTTTTTTTTAAACTAGGGATTCACCGTATGGACTTCTTGAGCTGAAACTGGAAGACACTTTATATATGCAATCTAGTGTAGTATACAGTACAGTGGTAATACTGTTGAAATACCTCAGTCTTTGTAGAAAAGTACTTGGTCTTTTTGTATTTATTCTCCTTTGACTTTCATAATCTACCTGAACTTCGTGTTCATTCTTATTCCTGTCTTGACTTGTCACATTTACACCACGGTCCTTGGGCTGACAAGTTGAAGTGACTTGTTTTATAATCTCAAACTGTGGAACATGTTGTTCAGCTGCATCTGACAGGAGTTGCTCCAGACCTCAAGTAAGATTTATGACACATAAGGAGAGGTCTCTTTGAGCCCATGTGGTGGGGCAAATAGTGCAGTGTGTAATGATTAGGTTGGACTTTAAATTCAGCTTACGTTTGCCCCTGAACTGCAGGATGGGCTCTTTATTTTTTTGTATATTTGAGCTAAAACCTACTGGATCACTGTCCACAAAATGACAGCAGAAAAAAAAGGAGAGTGTTAAATATCTTTATGACGACATGCGTCAGTGTTTTCCCTTCCTGTTTGTTGATCTCTTCAGCTGCGCTGCGTAGACAATACAGCCGTAAGCCTTTCACTGGAATTCCATTGTTTTCTCCCTAATCTCAGTGCGACCTTATCCCCAGATCCATGACCGCATAAAGAGAATTATTGGAGGGATTGAATCCACACATGTGACCTCCATACACCGGTGGTGCCGCTCGTCAACAACAACGACGCTGCAGGGTTTTTTTTTTTTACATGAGAGCCGGTTATTGAGCAGGAAATAAAGGCAGGAATTGTTTTGTTAAAAATCCTCCCCGCGAGCAATGAATGCTCCAGAAGAAATGTTTCTTTGTTTATTAACAAATAACACGCAGCACAGAGTGAGTGCACGGAGAGGTTTTGTCCCTGCAGCTGTTTCTGTGGTCGCATTGAAAAATGCAAGAAAAACCTCCAGCCATGTTTACACATGCCTCAGTGAGCAGTGTCTGTGTCTGTGCCCACATATATGAAAAATCAATATTGCTTTCTACGTTGTCCTCATTAGTGATGGCAACAGTTATAGTTAATATTCTTTCCAAACAAATTCACATGAAGACTTGCAAAAGAAGACATAGAAGACAGATATATATATATATCCATCCCATGACAGTGGAAGTGTGTTTGGTCTTTCACTTCTTGGAGAACTGAAACCCCTGATTCAGTAAAACACAAAAATGATTGCGTTATCACAGAGATGATTCAGGAAAATAGTAGTGCTTTGTTGTTCTGGATACATGTATACGTATGTACAGTACATCTGTGTGTGTATATATATATATATATACATATATGTATATATGTATACGTATATATGTGTATGTATGCATATATATATATATATACATATATGTATATATGTATACGTATATATGTGTATATATGCATATATATATATATATACACACAGATGTACTGTACATACGTATACATGTATCCAGAACAACAAAGCACTACTATTTTCCTGAATCATCTCTGTGATAACGCAATCATTTTTGTGTTTTACTGAATCAGGGGTTACAGTTCTCCAAGAAGTGAAAGACCAAACACACTTCCACTGTCATGGGATGGATATATATATATATATATACATATATGTATATATGTATACGTATATATGTGTATGTATGCATATATATATATATATATATACACATATATACGTATACATATATACATATATGTATATATGTATACGTATATATGTGTATGTATGCATATATATATATATATATACATATATCTATATATATGCATATATACACACACACACAGAATTAACCCTATTGTTATTTTCCACTCTTTTTCATATTACTCGGGTGCTATCAAAACTTCTATACAAACACCATTTCTAGATTAGTGCACCTTAAGAAAGTAAAATAGGAAATTAGAATTACATTTTAACTGTTGTTAAAAAACTAAATGTCAAGTCGAGTTATTTTTTCTTGGTTGTTTTTAGAGAATAATCGGGTGAAATGGTGAAAATCATCCCAGACAAGAACATTGTTGTTTTTATGATATTAACTGCCCTGAATCTTTATTTACTTCCTTTATCTGCTCTGAGTTGAGTCTGTCTTCAAGGTCACACTATCACACACCTGATCAGCAGGAGAACTTATGATCCAATCATTTCTCACCATCACTGACACATTCCATACGGAGGTAGTCATGTGTTTACTAAGCTTTAGACAAATGTGATTTTTTTTTTATACCTTTTTCAACACAGCAGCCTTTAACTCACCCGTTACATCACACTTTTTACAACAGGTTTGCATAACAAAACCATCACAGGCGCTGAGGGGGAAAAAAAATCACATTTACATTTGTTGACTTTGACTCATTTTATTGCAGCGCTGAAGGACGAGAGGTTACGATTTGGGAACGGTTATGACCAGGTGGAAGACGTCATCGCTGTGGATCCTCCCGTGCGGCTGAGCAGCATCTCGAGTGAGTACTCTCGCTCTTACTTACTCAGTTGATTAGATCGTTTAAACTCGCGCAGACACAAGTCTCACCAACTAAAGCATCCTCATGCGTCCACAGAGAAATGCCCCAGTGGGTGGCATCACTACGAGAAGACGGCCAGCTGCTACAAAGTGTACCTGAGGAACGAGAACTACTGGCAGGCCGTGGACACTTGTCAGAGGGTCAACGGCTCCCTGGCCACGTTTGTGACCAACGAGGAGCTGCAGTTCATACTGAAGATCGAGGTGGACTTTGACGACAAAGTGTGTGAGCGCAAAGACCAGTGCAAGTGAGTAATAGAACCAGAGACTCGCGACCAGAGAAGTAAACAAGTAAATCGAAAGTCCACCGATGCAAACCCAGTCTAGAAAAGATGAAGACTGGACGGTCACAGGACGTCTTTTATCACCCCCAGTGGTTAAAGCAGTGTTTCCAAACTTTTTTTAAAAGTCACAAACCTTCGCGACCCAAGTCAATAGACATTATTCGTAAACTCCTGGGAAACATTATGCGAGATGACCCCAAAAAAATAATTTTTCGACCCACCTGAGGGTCCCGACCCAGTCTTGCAAAACAATGGGTTAAAGGATTTAGATCAGGGGTGCCAAACATAAGGCCCGTGGGCCAAAACTGGCCTCGTAGGGGGTTCAGTCCGGCCCACTTGCACACGGCTGTTTGTGTTCATGGTGTTTTGTCAAATTATATTTCAGATTAAATTTGAATATTTTCTAATGTACTAATTTATTTATCGACAGTAAAACACAATAGGGGGGAAAGATGGACTTGTTGTTAATTCTAGGTAATTATGTTGTGATTGTACTGGTCCGGACCACTTGGCATCTAATCAGGCTGAATGTGGCCCCTGAACCACAATATGACACCCGTGGTCTACGTTGTAATTGGAGGATTGGTAGTTTGTTAGTTTTTGACAAATAAATTCTATCTAGAGAATAAATTCCGATAAAGGATTGATTGAGCAGTTGTCTCAATCAGGGGGTCTACTTTACAAGATCTGTGTTTTGTTTTGAATTACTGATCAGGCTGAATGTGGCCCCTGAACCACAATATGACACCCGTGGTCTACGTTGTAATTGGAGGATTGGTAGTTTGTTAGTTTTTGACAAATAAATTCTATCTAGAGAATAAATTCCGATAAAGGATTGATTGAGCAGTTGTCTCAATCAGGGGGTCTACTTTACAAGATCTGTGTTTTGTTTTGAATTACTGCTGCTATGTCCCATCCCAGGGTCTGCGGCCTCAGTGTAGGCCGCATACAACTAACGAAGGTCGCATTCTACCAGACGTCAGAACGTTGTCAATACAAAGACGTTGATTTGTTTGAGATTCTTCTAAAGGAAAATAAGGACAAAGCACAGAGTAAAACCTCTTGGTACCGAGGCAGAATTTGTTCTCCATCTTCTCAAAAGGAAGTGGCCAATAAAAACAGGCGTGAGTTTTATTCCTTCATGCAGTATTGTAGGACGGAGCTCGTCTTCACACCTCCCACATGAGTTGTATCAGGGCATAAAAAAAAAAACAAGACCAGAGTAGATTTGAATTTAAGCTCACCAAGAATTCCAGATGGATCGTAACTTCCTGCTTTTCTTACATTAACGATGTTAACGGCTGTGTAGGAAATGATGAAAAATGTTCCTCTGATTATATTTTTTCACATATGTGAGATAATCTGTGCTGCAGAGACACAGGTTCCTCAGATCGTTTCTGCTCCGTCTGGCTCTGCGTTCACTTCTGTCTGAACACGTTTGTGTCAAAACTCTCGTTCATTTATTAGCATTTGAGGGAACATAGAAACTGGAGATCAAGTTCAAGTCTTTGTCCCAACACATCAAGAATTCTAACTCACCGCTTCAGAGAAATTAAAATAATTTCAACACTGCTGAAGCAATTGTTTCTTACTTCTGTCGGTAGTGGGACATCTAGTGGCCACTTGCTGACAGCTAATTTTTGATCCTGTTTTGTTTGATTGTTCAGGTTTTGGGTTGGTTACCAGTACGTCATCACTAATCAGAACCATTCTCTGGAGGGTCGTTGGGAGGTGGCGTACAAAGGTAACAAGACTTTAGGTTTTTTTTAATCTGCATTATTTTATTTTATTTTTTTGAGAAACTCAGTACCGTTTCTTAACCCTCTGGTGTTGCCCCTCGTCAGGTGCCATGCAGGTTTTCCTGCCACCCGAGAGTCTGACCAGTTTTGGGGAGGCATCCCCGTCCCAGGACAACGTCTTCTGTGCCCAGCTGCAGCGCTTTCAGATCGAAACCATGAACGACCGAGGGCTGCACAGTTGGCACGCAGAGAACTGCTACAAAAAGTTCCCCTTCCTTTGCAAGAGGAGTACGTGACTCTGAGTCTCGCTGAGAAATTATGTCTTTGGTTCCAAACTCAACATCCAAACATCATCGCCTTTTATTTCTCTCCGACAGGGCAAACCTGCGTGGACATCAAAGACAACGTGGTGAACGAGGGCTACTACTTCACCCCCAAGGGGGACGACCCGTGTCTAAGCTGCACGTGTCACGATGGAGAGCCGGAGATGTGCGTGGCTGCCCTGTGCGAGCGACCACAGGGCTGCCAGCACTTTCGCAAGGATCCCAAAGAATGCTGCAAATTCACCTGCCTGGACCCAGGTACTGACGAACAGTTCCCGATGAGATTACCGCTTAATTTTAACAATATAATTTCTCATGATTCATCATCGTGGTCGAGAATCAGAAAATTTCGCACAGTGACGTTGTTACATCGGTGTTTGAGTTTGGATTTTGTGTAGAGAAAGCAGTGGATGTTTTTCTACTGAAAGTTCAAGTCAAGCTTCGTTCATCAATAAACCCACAATTCGGCCTCATTCCAACTTTTTGACTGGCCTGCCTGCGGTCCAGATCTGGTGTCTCGTTCGTACCATAATTAAGTAATATCTGTAAAAATTGCTTTTGGTTTTCCCTCTGCTAAAGCCTGGGTTTTGCCAAATAATGTGTGCCCTAAAAATAGTTTTAGGCAAAAACGACTGTATATGAAAGTGAAGCCCACTAGATGGCAGCATTGCCGCTCTTTTTAATTTTATTTTAATAATCAGGGGAAATTCAGAATGCTGCTGCCAGCAACTCATACAGTGGTTCGTACAGATAAATAAATAAATATTACCACTTCCTATATTGGTATTGATTAATATTAGAATTGGAAATTACGTTTTTGGCTTGTTGGATATCGTCAATATCGGACATCCCTGCATGTATTAATTGCACGTTCAAGTCAAATTAGTGCTTGTCTGTGTCTCAGTATGACTGTGTTGTGTGAGTAATGACCTCACAGTGTGTGAAACTGTGGTCCAGTGTAAACTGCCCCCCGCTGCTGACCTTCAGATGCCCCTATGTGGCGTTGATTCATTGATTAAGAATAGATTACTGATAGTTTTAGGTCTCGTTGTTTATAAAACGTCTGCCACTTTTTCACCTTCAGTCAGAGCGCCGTCTGAGGAAATTACGTAAGGGAATCATCGACTTTAATTACAGTAAAACACACATTAATTTGTGCGCTACAATGGAAGCCAAATAAACGAATCATCTGCATATTTCTCGGCCCGCAGCGTCTCAGATGTTCTTATTATAGACAACAGTTAATGACGTGACTGTGTTTTCAGGCTCAGACAGCGCCGCTCGTCCTCCCACTCATCTGCCTCAAACAACCGCAGCTCCATAAGTGAAATGGAGGAGGGTTGAAATCCTGCAGCAGCTGCTTTTTCACAGACAGCTAACGCTGAAGCCGAAATGTTGAAGCTACAGGCAGAGCGAGAGTAGCTGGAGCTGGAGAAACAGAAGTTGAAGCTGGAAATGTCTAAAATAGCTTTGGAAATACAGTTGCTTCAACTACAACTGAACAGCTCTGTTTCTCTTAACTGACACAGTGGAAAGAAGAATTAAGAATAATTTATACTTCCTTAAATTTAAAAAAATTAGGGATGTCCGATATGCCGATAACACTTAAGTTTTAGATTCCGATATCAAATGATAGTAATATAGGCCTCGTAATATTAATTAATTTATCTGTACAAATCGCCATACGAGTTCTCCATACAATCCCCTGATTATTAAAATAGATTAATAAAATTAGTTACAATGCTGCCATCTAGTGGCTTTCTCTTTCATATACAGCCGTTTTTCCCCAAAACCATTTTCAGGGCACACATCATTTGGTGAAACCCAGGTATTGCGTTATCGGGTTTTCATTATTGGAGGAAAAACCAATAACGATTCTTACAGATATTACATAATGTGCTAATATCGGCCAACCAATATTATCGGACATCCCTAAAGAAAAAATCAAACGAAATCTACAGTTTTGATAATAAAGCTTTAATTATAATTTAAAGCATCGTTGTGCATCATTTCTCTGAAGTGTTTAGTGACTGTTGACGTTTGTTCAGCTGACGCGCCGTCACACTGGTACACTGTACGTCAACGACTGACTCATCGGTGTCTTTACAGATCTATCTCATAGTTGATGATGATGATGATGATGTTGATGTCAAAGCCCTGATCTCATTCTCTTTCCCCCAGAAGGAAACAGTCTCTTTGACTCCATGGCCAGTGGCATGAGACTCATCGTCAGCTGCATCTCCTCCTTCCTCATCCTCTCTCTGCTGCTCTTCATGGTGCACAGACTCCGACAGCGCAGACGTGAGCGCATCGAAACGCTGATCGGAGGAAACCGTGAGTTTGAAGCCCATTTGTCTTCAGAGCCTGCGCACTACGTCGTAACTTCGTGCTCTAGTTTCACTCCGTTGTTATTTCCGCTCAGTGCACCACTTCAACCTCGGACGACGAGTCCCGGGCTTTGACTACGGGCCGGACGCCTTTGGCACGGGCCTGACTCCACTGCATCTCTCTGATGATGGAGAAGGAGGAGCTTTTCATTTCCAGGAGCCTCCTCCACCGTACGCAGCCTACAAATATCCTGACATCCAGCACCCGGATGACCCCCCTCCTCCGTACGAGGCCTCCATCAACCCCGACAGTCTCCTCTACGTCGACCTGGGTGAGCGGACGTTCTTGATCTGCAAGTCGTTCCACACAGTGTAGGGTTTAAACCTAATACAACGGGGCTTCAAGATACCAGTTTAATCTGTTCCACAACAGCACTCGTCTGTCGATCCACTTATATCTAGATCGAATTTTTTTTACCATTAGAAATAACCAAAAACCAATGAATACGTTCCAGCCTCCCAGAAATATACAAATTAATTAAATCCACCCACCTATCTAAACATCAAAAACATAGATATAAACAAATATATTGATAATATAAAATAATATTTTTTTAAAAAATGGGTAAAATAATGTATCGTGGGACAGTCAGCGAGACAGCGCCACACAGTGGAAAAATGGAGCTCAGTCGGGTAGCTTGTATCTTGAAGCCCCAACTGTACTAAAAACTACAGTAAATGATTATTACTGATGACGTGTTAAATTATGACAGTTGTATAATCAATATTCAAACAACAATATATTTTTCTGGACTGTTATAATCACATTAAAAATGAGTTCAACCATAGAGAGTGTATAAGAAATGAATGAGAGACGGACGTGTGTGCGATGAACCGTACACGACCGTCAATACTGATGCAATTCATAAACAGCAGCTCATGCTGCGGAATTCATATCAAATTAGATGAACATTTTCACCAATAAGGACAAAAAAAAAAAAGATTTAAAAAAAGTTTCTTCTTGGATCTGACTCCTAGTGGTTCGTGATTCCTCAGAACATTTGGAGTAGTACTGTTACTGCAGTAGTACTGTTACTATGAAGGGCTGCATCAAAATGAAACCACTCTGCTGACCAGTGCCCCCGATGAAGGGAAAAGACAAATAGAAAGTCACAACGTTTAGATGAGCAAAAACAAATCTCTTCAGAATACAAATTAGAGATTGCCCCTTACTGGACACAGCATTATAAAACGTTATTTGGCAGTTTAACATCAACTCAAATTCAAGATCGAAAAACAAACATAATGAATAATAATAATCATCTGTAATAATCTTCTGCTAGCTATGAATAATAAAGTGGTCTGAATAACTCCCGAATAACTTTCCTTGCGTACTGTTGAGGGTCTGTGCACCCCTGTTTTGAAAAGATGGCACCAACAAACGGTTTTCACGTCTGCTCTCTGTCATCAGTTGCAGGACATAACGGCGTTTCCATGGTGCCCAGCCAAATGAACCCCATAGGGGGCGTCCTCCAGGCCGACATTCCCAACCCGCCTTGTCCCAGGACGCGCTCGGCGCCGTCCTCCCAGGGGAGAGAAGACTCCATAGACAGCAGCACCCTGCTGGTGGGGCCGGTCACTCCAACAGAGGGCCACGGCCCCACCTCCATGCCTGCAGACTGCACCTCCCTCAGCACTGTGGTATAAGTCGACACTATGCCACCTGCTGGTAGAGGAAGAGAGGAGAGGGGACGCAGTACGTTGCACAGACACTGACTGATGGATCTCCTCTCTCTGAAGGTTGTACAGTGAGACTTCAGAGTGCTGTCATTTTTTTATTTTTTTTTATTTTTATTTTTTTACAAATGCAGAACGGACATTCTGCACAGAGGAAAGAGGAAAAAAAACACTACTTTTAAACTGAGAAAGCTGCACTTTTCCTGCTTGCGTCGATGGAGCGGAGCTTTTGAAACATCTCAGTTGGTCCTGATGTAAATACCCTCCTCAGGTCTGTGCCGGTCCACTTTGTTATACGTTTGTGCTTCAGACCAGAACTAGGTTAAAAAAAACATTGACAACGGACATGATGATGATGATGCCAGCTTTTGTTTTCTTGCGCGTTCTTGGTTGCGTCCTCGCTGTCGCTGTCCCGTCGTCTCTCCAGACTTCAGATACTGTTCCCAGCAGCTCCGTGTACAAACCTTTGTCTGAAGCTTCTGTCCTGGAGCCGCCTTTCATGATTTTCAGCACAGGATGTTTTGTTGTCAGAAGGTGACCTTGTAAAAAAAAAAAAAGAGGGTTAACATTAGCTCTGGAGGTTGTTGTGGTGCAGATGAATCCTCTGTTATTTTTTTTATTTTTATTATTACTTTTTGGTTGATTAGACGAATCCTGGTGTGACAGATTAAAGAGCAGAGCAGCTTTGAAGACGTTAGTGATGATGATATCCAGAACCTGTTTCATTTACAGCCAGTCATTGATGTCGTTTGATGCAGAAGTTCTCGATGTTGTTGCCTCATCAGCAGTTGTGTATCCACGTGGAGCCGTACACCCCCGACAGCTCCATCCTAGTTTGACTCGGACACAGTTCAAATTATGAAAACTTGGTTGAAACAATAGGGTTAGCACTAGTCAGGTACCGTGTCTGTCTTTCTTGTAGCCGCAGAGCCAATTTGTAGTTTGCATTACTGCCACCTAGTGGGCTGCAGTGTGTATACATTAGTGTTACCGGTCTTTTTTATTTTCTTTTTTTTGTCAGTAAGGAATTCACTGACAAAAACAATTTGATCTTCTTTTGTATTATTTCCTACTGACGTTTGGAGGAAATTCCTTTTTCCACATTCTGACTCCAAACATCACCTCACCAAAAAAAAAAATCCGACCTGATTGTAGCTGGGGAAACTGAATGTAGTGGAACTCATCGTCTGTGTTGAGTTGTCGAGACAGAGGTTGTCTTCAGCTGCTTCTCTTTGGACCAGGGTTAAAGTTGTTTGTGCAATTTTTTTTTTTTTTAAAGGTCGTTTTCAGCTGCTGATGTAACAGTAACCACACGTGACTCCTGTTTTCTCCTGTTTGGATGCTGGTGGCGCTATTGTTCTTGATTTTTCACCGAGAAAAAAAAAAGTGTATATTTGGGAAGACAATCGTAGAGAGTTTTAATCCTCGTCGGCGTTTAACCAAGAACAACGATGTAAATGATTGGATGACTGAGCCCGTCATTGTGTGAATGAACTCGATGAAATACTAAGATTTTTTTTTTTTTTTTTTATGTTCTTGTGCTGAAATATTCCTTCTGTTTTTGACAATCCACGGTGGATTATCCTAATCTCAGAACTGTAGAAAATAATCCTGCATGAGTGAGTGTACAGAAGGTCAGAACTGGTTGGGATTTTTTTTTCTTTTTTTTTTCTTGTCAGTTTTGGTTTTAGTTCCATGTCGAAAAATGTTTCTTGACCTACGATGCATGTTTTTGATCCTGCGGCATGCTGAGAGTTGTTTTCTTTTTTTGGGGGGGGTAATTTTTTTTTGTAATTTATTTCTTTGATGCAAATATTCTTCAGCTCAACCGCATCCACTGTACAGACGACTCGCTGCATCTAGATTCAAGCTTCATCTTCACTGTAGTTCCTGTGGCAGATTATGGTGGCGTGAGAACCAGTTTTGTTGGCTTTGACTTGTTTTGTGTATAATACAGAAATGATGACATTCAGTTTGTTTCTTGAAGTCAAACGTCACACTTCACTCAACAGAAGGGGGCGGGGCCTGTGATTTCCCAGGGTAGACTCGCGTCAAACGAAACGCCAAAAACCAACGTACCGTGAAGGACGAGTCGTGCGTCAGCGTCCGGCGACACACACACACACACACACACCCACGCTTGATGTTGCACCTCGTCGATCTTGACATTCAGCTTCTCTGTGACTTCTTTGACTCACTCAAGAAACGTGGCGGCCAAATGTCAAAAAAGAGGATTAAATTGGGATGCGGGGGAAAATCCCCACACGGTGAGACGAAGGCTGCGATAAATCCAATCCACGGCAATCAAAAGAATCATTTAAAGAAAGTGGATATAGCGCACCTCGCAGGCCACGGTGAGGCAGCAGACAGTGATACCCTGCTGGACGGACGTGGTCGAGGAAGAAAGGAGGCTTTGTTCACACGGCCGAAGAGTGACACGACCACATCATGGTTTAGTGGAGGGCAGAGATGCAGCACTTGACGCCGAGGCCCTTCAGCCAACAACAAGAGCGAGCACAAGAGAAAAAAAACATTTAAAAACATGTTACTTTTTAAAGAAAAGTTGAGGATAAAAAGTTCAAAAGTTAAGTACACATTTTTTTTCAGTATATTCCAGAACATAACTAACCCTTTTTCCAGTAGTTCAATATACACCGCAGTCATGTGACTTATGTTCCAGATAAACATGTATATTAAAATACATAGAGTGGGGCTTCAAGATACGACCTCCCCAAAATACGAGTTTTACTAGTCAGCAACTATTGTACGATTTTTCTTGAGATACGAGAAAACATTGAGTGTGGCGTTGTCTCGCTCACTGTCCCTCTCTGGGTTATTTTACCCATTTTTATAACAATAATATAAAAATGATTTTATATTATTATTTGTTTATATCTATGTTTTTGATGTTTAAATGGGGGCTTTAACTTAATTGTATATTTCTTGGGGACTTGAATGAATTGATTAGTTTTTAGTTATTTTTAATGGAAAAATGCAATCGAGATACGAGTGATCTCCACATTTATGGCCACAAGAGGGCAGTGACAACTTAATTGCCCCCACATCTAAATTAGAGCCGTAAAGCGTTCCATAAAGAATACAAAAAAGAAAATGGTAGCAAGAAGAATAAAAATGAGTTAATGACCTTCATTCACCTTCAGACCAGATCAGTTACAGCCCGGTTAAAAAGTAGAGGAGACAGTGGACACGGTGAGACGGATGCAGATGGCGACCCTCGAAGGTGACAACTGGAAGCAGAAATGACAATCAATTTAGATTTTTTAATTTTCTTATTCTATGTCGGTTCAGACTGACAAAAAGTTCAATGTTCAATGTTCTTCTAATGGTGTTGGAGAAATATCAACCAGACTTGAAGTTCGGTTGAGTATGCTTTACCTTTTCACTTCTCTAGGCGTCTGGGTCGTCAAACCAGTAGAAACATCTCTGAAGCTCCATGATGTTTCTTCATCTGCCTGGTTTCTCCAAAGAGGCTTCAACAAGTTTCACCTGGAGCTTCTTCTAACCTGGTCTGAAAAATCAAACATTTTCACATAAACCTTTAGGTTAAATATGAATCAGTTTAACAGCAAACGTTGTTTTTTCATAGCAGTTTTTGTATCACATTTAAATAGTCATAAATCATGTATAAAACCCAGTGTTTTCTCATCAACTAAAACTGGGTCATGAAAATCTTCCTTTTATAATTCAGCCGTTTTTCCATCCTCTGACTTTCCCATGAGATGAATGCATCCTGTCAGTGGTCACTGGGCATTGATGCTGGCAGCAGCAGCAGCAGCAGCAGCAGAAGGGGGGGGGGGGGGGGGGGGGGGTGGGAGGGGGGGGGGGGGGGTTGTGAAGGGGGAGGGGAGGTGTTGGGAGCATCAATGAGCCCGTTGATCAGAAAAGACCACCAGACTGGTAATGACACAGTTCAGTGATCAGACCACAGACCAACAGAACCGGGCCTCCAGCGCGCTCCGTCTTTATTAACCCGGGACGTCGTCGTTGATCCTCAGTCTACCTCGGACCCCGACACCTGCTGCGTCGACGCCCGCCATGGTTTGGACCGCTGCTCTCCTCGTGGTTGTCATCTCATACGCCGACTCTGGTGAGAGGAACGATTCACACGCCATCAATTAATGATTTTTTAAATGGATTAATTAATTGAATTAAACTAAATGTTGTTTTTTTTTCAGACGATTACTGTTACAATGAGCCACACTGTGGTAAGTCACTCCAGAACTTTATATTTAATTACTTCATTTAGATGGATGGATGGATACCTCATTTAGAAACAACACAGAGTAAATTTAATTAAAATAAAAAGTCAAAATGTGACAGATTTAATAGTTGGCTTTAAAGATTTTGTCTTCAGAATAAACTACTTGTCATTTAAATCTAATTTTAGTCTAATTTCTCATTTATTTAGGGTGGGAGGGCACACACACACACACACACACACACACAAAGTATTTTTCCTTCATTTGTGGACTTTTATTAAATTACTTTTTTTTTTTCACGTCCACCACTGGGTCCATTTAACAGTTCTTTGTGCTGGTACTTACACCACTACAGCGTGTGATCATATTCATCTAGTGCAGAACAATCCACTGTTGTGGGCAGAGAACAAAGAGCAGCTTCTGGAGTGTTTGACCACTTGCTGTTTCTGAGAGTCCACTGGGAGAATGTTAATAACCTTTAAAACAAAAACATATTTTTTAAATGTATTATTAATATACTTTATATATATTAATAATAATGTTGTTGCTTTTATTTTACTAGAATTAGTGGTAGATGTTATTTTTATATCGATAATAACGTTTTTTTCTGTCATCACGGTACTTACTAAAATTACTAAAAATCGTCAGTAGCAAATGACGTCATAAAAAACAATAACAACATCAATATTATTCTTTTTTTCATTCAATCGTTAATTGGTTATTTATTTATCATTTACTACCGTTTTATGTTCAATAAAAATACGTTTTGGCTCAGCTAGGCTAGGCTAATCCTGCTAACCCCACCAACACAACGTGTTGTTGTTTTTAATCTGTCGACAACACCTGCGTTACCTGAAGTTGCAACACTGCCATCTGCTGGATGAATGAATTCCACATGAAAATGTTTCAGACTTTCTGGTGTTGCAAATGTTGTAAAATTATTTTTAAACATCAACATTTTCTTTCGTATTAACACTGACAGATTAGTAGTACTACTAGTAGTAATAGTACTAGTAGTAGTAGTACTGATAGTAAAAGTTACTGCGTCAGTTCACAGATATATTTAACTACATTTTTACCATTTGTGGCCTAATTATTCTATTACTACAAAGTTTCAATAAAAATTTTTTAGAATCTATTTTGTTTTATTATTTTCAACCAAAACACTGTTTTGGCAGAAAAACAATATTAAAAAAATAGTTTTCTATTTTTAAAATTTTTTTTTTATCTTTGTTGTTGCTGACTTTCTAATACAGCAGTACATTTAAATATCTGTAGGTGTAGAAAAAAAACCTTATAATTCTTTCCTTATTTTTCTATTGTAATACTAACGGACATTGTCCTCTTAGTTTTTGAAAAATGTTTAAGAAGTATTGGGGTCACAGAGGTTTGCGGTTCGAATCCCAACCTGGGTAGAACTGCTCCCTGGGTACATTAACGCAGAGCGTCTGTGTGTCTGCAGGGAACAGTTCCCCCTACAGTTTAAAAAAACAGTTCCAGGCTCCTTAACTCTAAAAGTTTTTTTTTTTGTTTTTCTTTTGCATCATTTTTTTTTCTGACCCACAGATCCTTATGCCTGGGGCGACATGTTCCCATCCTGCCACCCACTACTTGAAGAGCACCACTCACCCATCAACCTGGACCAGCACATGGTCAGGAACAGTTCCCTGGACTCTTTACATCTGGAGGGTTTCGATGCGGCCCAGCCCGCGGGCCACTGGACGCTCCAGAACGACGGACACTCTGGTGAATATCCCGCAGCACGGTGTCCGGTCACGAGCGGTGGAATCATGTCGGTGTTCACATGTTTCCTGTTGCCCACAGTTGTGCTCCACATGGGCAGCGGCATGTCGGTGAGTGGTGGAGGTCTGCCAGACGTGTACCACACCGTCCAGCTGCACTTCCACTGGGGGGCGCAGGCCACTAATGGTTCAGAGCACACAGTGGACACGCGGCGATATCCTATGGAGGTACAGTACGGTCAGTAGTTTGATCCACGCTGTCACAGACCAGACTTGACCTCTGACCTGTCCAGTGTGTCTCACGTCGTGATGCCGGTCTCTCCTGGTTCCTGTTCAGATGCACATCGTCAACGTGAAGGCCGTCTATCCCAACCTGACGGCAGCCTTGGACGACCCCACAGGACTGGCTGTCCTCAGCTTCTTCATTGATGTGAGTCACTGTGAAATCGAGAGTCAATAAGTTTTAAGAAAAAAAAACGTTATTTGGTTCTATGGTGTAGCGGTTAGCATACCTGCCTCGAGAGCAGAGAGGGTTTGATTCCCAGCGGGGCCACATGGTTGATTGTCGACCCTCCTCTTGTTGCTTTGGATAAAAGCATCTGCTAAAAGCATGAATGTAAAAGTAATTAATTTATATAATTAGTCTGATCATTTAATCTTTGCCATTTTTTTAACATAAAAGGAAAAATGACAAAATAATCAGGTTTTGATCTGATTTTAGTTTTTCCTTTTCTAAGAAATGAACAAATATCGATAAAACAGAGAAGCAGGTTCAGACTCGGTGACAAAGATTCTCTGATAAATAGTTCCGAGCTGCTTCACAGAGAGGATCGAAGGACGATTTATTTTTTCTGTCAAACTTTTCCCCTGACTTCAGACTGTGGTCAAACTGCTGCTCTCTGACGTCACCGTGTGAGACACCGTCTGATTCTCTCGTTTCCTCACAGGTCGTTTATGCCGACAACGTGCACTTTGGACACATCACACAGAAACTGTCCTCTGTGGCGCTCAAAGGTACACACACACACACACACACACACGCACACACCTGTGCTGGTGTCCTGTCCTCCTCTGTCCCCCTCTGTCCCCCTCTGTCCTCACTTCTGTTCTTGTCACTCCTTCCCTACAGGTCAAACCACCAAAATCAAGCCGTTCCCTCTGATCAGCCTTCTGCCGAAACACAACATGAGCCAGTATTACAGGTATTACGGCAGCCTCACCACTCCTCCCTGCTCCCAGGTGGTCGTGTGGACCCTGTATGAAGTTCCCATCCACATATCCTGGTCTCAGGTAAGATGCCAGATCAGATCAACTTCATGACTAGCCTGCCTGTGGTCCAGATCTGGTGTCTCGTTCATAGTAAATTAAACATTACTTCTACGGATGTCCCATAATATCGGCCGAATATTAGCATAATTATGTAATATCTGTAAGAATCGTTATCAGTGTTTCCTCTGATAATGAAAACCCGATAACGCAGTGCCTGGGTTTCGCCAAATGTGATGTGTGCCCTAAAAATAGTTTTGGGGAAAAACAGCTGTATATTAAAGTGAAAGTCACTAGATGGCAGCATTGCAGCTGATTTTATTAATTTTATACTCATACAGTGCTTTGTACAGATATTAATAATATTATTACCAGGCCTATATCGGTATCGGTTGATATCGCAATTGTAAATTAAGTGTTTGGACAATATCGGCAAAAAGTTCACTGCCCTCCTACTGTTGAGCAGCTCATATCTTATCCAGAAATTGTCCAGAAATTCAACTCTGTTTTTCCTCACATGATAAATCGGCTTGACGTTTGTAACAGATTGAAATTGTCTAAATCTTTTTATCGTACGTTCAGAACATGTTGTATCCTCCGTCCTCAGCTGGCCCAGTTCACCTCGCAGATCTTCTCCACGGAGGAGGACGCCGAGCAGGTCACGCCCCTGCAGAACAACTTCAGGCACGTTCACGAAACCTTCAGTCGCGTCGTCTCTGCATCCAAAGACGCCAAACTGCTGAGCGGGACGGCAGCTCGTCCCCTCGGCTCCGCAGCGACACTGATGTTAATCATTACCGTGGGACGTGTCTCGTCCGCACTTTAGCGTTATCGTCTTATCGTCTCAATAACAGATACGTCACAACACGACAGGAAAAACAACATTGACATCGTTTCACACCTGTAGTACGACTCGACAGGTAGACTGTCCGTCATACGAAGTGGAAAAGTGATTGTGTATTTTTTTTTAATTAAAAAAGAGGAAGATTATTTTTGTTATTTCTGTAGTTCGTTAAACTCTGTCAGAGCTTCACCAACACTTGAAACAGAAAGACTGGAGCAACATCAGTACAATCCTAACGTATTCTCATTAGACTGCTCTAATTTTCAGATGCGAAACAAATTTATAAAATTTTTAAATGTAAATAAAATTAAACGTCGACTAGATTTAATGTGTTGTGCCGTTTTTTTTTTATCTCACTTTGGCCCATAGTTATTTACTATTTTAAATTAATACTATACTATACTGCACTATGATATACTGTGCTATAATATATTATACTATTTGTACTACACTCTGAAAAGAGTTAAAATATGAAATACAAAATATGTTGATATATATTAACGTTTTGTAGTTTTTTTTGTTGCTTCTGATCAAACATTTTTTCCTTATTTGAACCATAAAAGCCATTTGTAGACAAATTAGTGCATTTTTAGTCAT